GGATCAGGGATTAGTCAAATCTTTTTTTCTCACTCTAGTGTCCAGCATAGTAGTACTTAGTGGTAGGTAGGAACTGAATGTCTAGTGAATAAATGGCACTTGGGAAGCAATCTTTAAATGCTTTTTTTTTTTTTAAAGATTTTATTTATTTATTTGACAGAGAGAGACACAGCAAGAGAGGGAACACAAGCAGGGGGAGTGGGAGAGGCAGAAGCAGGCTTCCCGCTGAGCAGGGAGCCCGATGTGGGGCTCGATCCCAGGACCCGGGGATCACGACCTGAGCCGAAGGCAGACGCTTAACGACTGAGCCACCCAGGCGCCCCAGTCTTTAAATGCTTATTAAGCAGGGTACCTAAGTTGATCATACAGAAAAACCAAACGGTTTTCAACCATTGGAAACTTTGTAATGTTAGAGCGAGAGGGAATGTAAGAGATGGAGACCATCTGGCACCATAGAGGAAAAATCTGGAGAGGATGGCATTTGCCTAAGATGTCACAACAGCGAGTCTACGGCCGAAACAGAGCTGGAATCCAGGTGTTCTGATTCCCAGGACGGGGCGGGGGGGGGGGGGGTGTCTCCGTGTCCCCACGCCATCCCCAGTGTAGACGATCAGGAAGTAAGTCACAGCCACACAGGAGCTACCAGTGTCCACGCTCTGGCTTAATGCGAGTTCTACTTAGAGGTGAACTTCCCGGCTCGGGGCATTGGGAGGAGGGGCACTCACTCGACAGAGGTGTGTTGCAGATATTTTCTTGACTCTGCGGTTCCTCCTGGGCCGCCAGCTCTATGGCGTTGAGGGAAAGAAGCGCTAACTCCGCGCAGAGCGCGACTCGGTTGCCGGGGCGACGAGGCACCTCTCACCCGGAAGCGAACAGGCGAGGGCCCGAAGCTGAGCCAATCGGAAGGGAGGAGGTTGTGCTGCTGCAGCAGGGCCGCGGCGGCGCCGCTCTAGGTGAGATCGCGGTGGGTGGCGAAGCCCTGGCGGGACCCCTCAGCCTGGGCCCTCCCTCCTGACAGCCGCCCCGGGAGGCCGCGCTTCGAACCCGCCACGGCCTCCCCTTCCGCGGACAAGGGATGTGTGCCTGTGTGCGTGGTCTGCGCGCCGCCCTGGTTGTCGGTGTGCGGACCCTGCTACCGCCTCCCCCTCCGGGGATGGTCAGAGTCTGAGGGGCATCCGGCCGGGTGGGATCCGGGCAGGCTGGCTGGGGCCTGGGAGTGTGGACCAGCAGGATCCCGGTTGTCCGCACCCAGGCTGGAGGCGAGGGAGCTGAATTCACCTTGGAGAGGGGTAAAGGATTACATTGGAGAGGCTCGGGTTTCCTTTCCTGTCTCTTGTCACCGTCTCGAACTGAGTGTATGCTGGAAGAAAGGTACCAGGTGTAGGTATCTGCGTGGAGCTGGATATATGGGGTCAGTCAGAGGTTTGCCTGGGAAGGGAGTGGTGTGTGATCAGTTTTCAGTGGCCTGTTTGGTGATTCTGTTCCTGGGGGTCTGTTCTGCGTGTGAAACAAAGGATCCTCTTTGAGCCAAACTTAGGTCCCTGTGTCCACGGTGAAGAAAAATAGTTGGAATCTTCCCAGGCTAAATGGAATAGAATGCTGAAATTTAATACATGTAGATTATACAACCTAATTCCCATTCCCTTGAAAACATCTGGGCTGGATTGTATTGGATACAGCCAGCAAGCCTTCCTTCAACATTTTGAGAGCAGATCTCAGATCAGGTTGTAAAGGTGAGATTTTCTGGGTTGGTGTGAGACAAATTGTTGATCATTATTTAGGCAAGCTTAGCTGGGGCGCAGTCTGGTTGGCTAGCCACTCTAAAAATCAAAGCACATTATCTTCTTGCTTTTTTCCTAATGTATTTTACTTACACAAACTTCCCTGGACTGGGTGTTTTTTGAGCTGAAGCTCTGATCTTTCTGTCTGATTGGTATATCTTTTCCCTTTGTCTGAATTCTAGAAGTAATAGATAATTATTGATGCACAACTTTACAGAATTCAGTTGTCTGATTGTTTTGGTCTTCTGTTAAGCTTTAAATGACCCTACATTTTTGTGAGTATGTGTGTAAGTACCACTGTTTTTACAGAAGAATCTGAGATAGTTGGGCTTCTCACGATATTCTTATCTAAGAGATCTGGAGTCAGGAAACTTGCAATGAAGGGATTTGAAATTTGGATTTGAAAAGTATATTAATCATTTCTTATTTTCCATATTTTATTATATTTTGACACATTGGGGGCCTACCTGGCCAGGAAGAAACTGCCCTTCCTAGAGATAGCTAATTCACCTTGACCTGTGAACATACCTTTCATATGCAGACCAACCCCCAACCACCTACCTCCTTCATCTAATTTTTGCACCAAGCCAATTCCTCCCTCCCCCTAAATCAACCCAGGGCCAGGTCACAGGCAACTAGGCACAGCCCCTATGCCCCAAAGCCTGCTGGAATTATTTTAACTGGCCAATCCTAAACTGTTTACTCGGCCCTGCCTTTCCTGCGGAAACACTAAGAAAGGCTGTGGCTTCTGCCTTCCCCTGGCTCCTTTGTGCCTCCTGACTGACTCTGGTACCTCCTCCTGGGGCCTGGCCCGGCGTGGCATGATGTACCTCTCTCCTTTCTGGCCAAACGGTGAATAACAGTAAACTTTTCTTTCGGTGGCATTGACCTCTCCTTGTTGTCACTTTTATAAATTAAGACCCAGGCACAAATCAAAGGGGGTCTTGTTTATCATTAAACTTTGAATTGAAGATGTAAGGTACGTATGTGGTTGAGGAGGAAGAGATACAGTAGAAAGAATTTTGGCTTTGGTGTCAAACAGATTGTTTGAAACCCTGGCTCCAGACTTTGCTTCTATACATTCGGTGGCATTAGACAAGTCATATAATTTATCTGTGCTCTAGTCTCCTCTATAAAATGTAGAAAATAATCTTTACTGTACTAGATTTTTAGACGGTTAAATGAAATAATCTTACCTTTCCCCTTAATGCAGACTTGTATATTCAACTACTTTCAGTATGTCTCCACGTGAGTATCTTGTTGGCATCTCAAATGTAACAGATCCAGTCTGAACTTGTGACACCCTTCCCCCGGTTTTTTCCTCCCCAATATTCCAGTTCTGAGCACATGACACCACTATTTACCCAGTTAACCTAGGCCAAAAAATCTTACAATAATTGTAGACATTTCTTTCTGATACTTTTCATCTAATTCATCTACATTTAAAATACATTCAGAATCTGTGACCACTTTTCAACTCTGCTGCTCCCACCCTAGTCCCGCCCACTGTATTTTCTCTGTATTTGTTCTGCCTGAACAACTGCAGTAATTTCCTAGTTGACCTCCTGGCTTCTCCTCACCCCCCTGCAGTCTCTTTATTCTTCACGAAGCAGCTAGCATAATTGTTTTAAAACATGAGTCAGTCCTAGCCATCTTTTGCATCAGCTCTTTAGTGACTTCCTATCATATTTAGAATTTTTAAAAAAATTTTCCAAAAAAAATTTTTTTCCAAATCACTCTTAGCTAAACAGATTAAATTCTAGCTTTTTAAAAATCTAAAGCTACATAAAACCCAAAGCAATCTATTTTTCTATCTGAGATCAAAACAAGTTTCTTTTTTCCTATCTAAACATAATTCTTGGCATTGAGGTAAATCTGAATTCACATGATATACTCTGTCAAACTTTTCCAAAATACTTTAAGCCCTGCTTTGGAGAGAAATTCTCATGTTACACATACATATTTACATATTTTTTTTCAAAGACTAATGACACATTTATGAGGTTAATAGGCATGTGATGGGACTATGATACTACTAATAATATGAAAACAAAAAGCAGTTCATTTATACAAAGTGTTCCTGTATGATGCAGTATGAAATGGGATCACAGAATCTATGTACAAACATGAATCACCAAAAGAAACTAAGCTCACTTTAAGAAAATTCATTCTGTTGTTTGGAGTGGAGGTGGCCAAGTTGTGATGTATAACAAAAATATTGTGTATAAAATCTTCAAAGTCAAGCATTAGCCTAAAGTGGCAATAACTGCAACTTAAACACTAAACCCAACCAGATCTTTACTGTGGCAATGCAATGTTAGCTTTGTGGCCTGCAGGATTTACTGAGGTAACAGCCTCTTCTCTCTTGCCTCTCCTCCCAGTGCTCCCCCCGTCTCCAGCTTTTTCTTGGCCTTCTCTGCTCTCTGACCTCATCCCCTCTCCTCAGTACGGACCCATCAGACTTCTTACTGTTTGTCCAGCTCAGTGCATTGAAGATGTTCTGGACCTGGCACCTTCCCCTCAGAATATTCTTTTCACAAATATTTCATGGCTCATTCTCTCAGTTTGTTCAGGTGTCTGCTCAAACATGATCTCAGAGAGGCCTTACTTGACCACTCTCTTTAAAATAACAGTCTTAGGATTTTTCTTTTTCTGTATAGCATTTAACTGATATTATCTATTTATTTGTTTATTTGTGTCTTACCCTTTGGAAGGTAAGCTTCATGAGGAATTTTGTCTTCTTTGCTGTTATATCAATTGTTGGTTCATGTATTTTGGTGCTCTGTTATTAGGTGCATATATATTTATCATTGTTATATCTTCCTGCTAGATCGACCCCTTTATCATTATGAAATGTCCTTCTTTATTTCTAGTAACATTTTTTTTTTTTTTTTGCTTTAAAGTCTATTTTGTCTGATACTGGCACAGTCACTCCAGCTTTCTTGTGGTTGCCGTTTGCATAATTTATCTTTTACCATCTGTTTACTTTTCATTTATTTGTTTCTTTGAATTTAAAGTGATAAGTAGCATATAGCTATATATAGATATATATAGATATAGCATATAGCTATAGCATATATCATTTTTTTAATTGAGGTATAATTGACATATAACATTATATTAGTTTCAGGTATATAACATAATGATTTATCATTTGTATATATTGTGAAATGAGCACCACAGTAAGTCTAGTAGTTAGCATCTACCACCATACATAGTTACAAATTTTTTTTTTCTTGTGATGAGGACTTTTAATATTTACTCACTTAGCAACTTTCAAGCATGCAATGGAGTATTTATTATAGTCACCATGCTGTACATTATATCTCCATAACTTATTTATTTTATAACTGGAAGTTTGTACCTTTTGACCCCCTCTACCCATTTTACCCACCCTCTACCTACCACCTCTGGCGACCACCAGTCTGTTCTTTTTATCTGTGAGCTTGGTTGTTTTTGTTTTTAAATTCCACACATGCATGAGATTGTATGTATTTGTGTTTCTCTGACTAATTTCACTTAGCAAAATGCCCTTAGTGTCCGTCCTTGTTGTTGTAGATAACAATAGTTCATTCTCCTTTATGGCTGAATAGTATTCCATTGTTTATATCCATATGTATATCTTTTTGAATTAGTGTTTTCATTTTCTTTGGATAAACACCCAGAAGTGGAATTATTGAATTGTATGGTAGTTCTATTTTGAATTTTTTGAAGAACCTCCATACTGTTTTCCATAGTGGCTATGCCAATTTACATTCCTACCAACAGTGCACAAGAGTTCCTTTTTCTCCACGTCCTTGCCAACACTCATTATTTCTTGTCTTTTTGATAATAGCCATTCTCACAGGTGTGAGGTGATATTTCATTGTGGTTTTGGTTTGTATTTCCCTGATAATTAGTGATGTTGAGCATCTTTTCCTGTACCTGTCGGCCATCTGTATGTTCTCTTTGGAAAAATGTCTATTCAGATCCTCTGCCAGTTTTTAAATTGAATTGTTTGCGGTTTTTTGCTGTTGAGTTGTATGAGCTCTTTATATATTTTAGATATTAATCTCTTATCAGATACATGATTTGCAAATATTTTCTCCCATTCAATAGGTTGCCTTTTCATTTTGTTGATGTTTTCCTTTGCTTGCAGAAACTTTTTAGTTTACCCACTTTTTTATTTTTGCTTTTGTTGCCTTTGATTTTGGAGTCAGGTTCAAAAAATCCTCACCAACACTGATGTCAAAGAGTTTACTGCCTATGTTTTCTTCTAGGAGTTGTATGGCTTCAAGTCTTACATTCAAGTCTATAATCCATTTAGAGTTCATTTTTGTGTGTGGTGTAAGATAATAATCTAATTTCATTCTTTTGCATGTGGCTGTCCAGTTTTCCCAACACGATTTACTGAAGAGACTTCTTTCCTCACTGTATATTCTTGGCTCCTTTTGTTGTGAATTAATTGACCATATATATGTGGGTTTGTTTCTGGGGTCTCTATTCTGTTCCATTCATCTGTGTGTCTGTTTTTATGCCAATACTATACTGTTTTATTACCACAGCTTTGTAATATAGTTTGAAGTCAGGGATTGTTATGCCTCCAGCTTTGTTCTTCTTTCTCAAGGTTGCTTTGGTTATTCAGGGTCTTTTGGCTCCATGCAAATTTTAGGATTATTTGTTCTGTTTCTGTGAAAAATGCCATTGGAATTTTGGTAAAGGTTACATTGAATTTGGAGATTACTTTGGGTAGTATGGACTTTCTAATAATATCAATTCTTCCAATCCATGAGCACAGACTATCTTTCCATTTATATGTGTCTTCTTCCGTTTCTTTCATCAATGTCTTATAGTTTTCAGTGCACAGTTCTTTCACCTCCTTGGTTAAATTTATTCCTAGGTATTTTATTCTTTTAATGTAGCTTATTACTTCTTGAGTTACAACTATTTTCTCTTATTATAGGAATATATTAAGTCTAAGAAACTATCTTAAATCTAGCTTTGGGGATGCCTGGGTGGCTCAGTCAGTTAAGCATCTGCCTTCTGCTCGGGTCATGATCCAGAGTCATGCATCGGGCTCTTTGTTCAGCGGGGATCCTGCTTCTCCCTCTGCGTCTGCCCCTCCCTCTGTTTGTGCTCTCTCTGTCTCTGACAAATAAATAAAATCTTAAAAATAAATAAATAAATAAAAATAAATATCTAGCTTTGGCTATATTTTATAATTTTAATGTATAATTTTCATTTTTACTTTCTTTTTGGTCTATAAATTCTGTTTTGCTTTATATATTTAGGTGTTCTGATGTTGGGTGCATAAATTTTACAATTGTTAGATCCTCTTGATGAATTAATCCCCTTATCGTTATATAATGACCATCTTTGTCCGTTGTTAGTTTTTGCCTTAAAGTCTATTTTGCCAAATAAAAGTATAGTTGCCCCAGCTTTCTTTTGGTTTCCATTTGCATGGAATAGCTTTTTCCATCCCTTCACTTTCATTCGATGTCCTTAAAGCCAAAAAGCACTTCTGTTGTAGGCAGCATATAGTTGGGTCTTATTTTTTTATCTATTCAGCCATTTTGTGTCTTTTGATTGGAGAAGTTAATCTATTTACATTTAAAGTAATTATTAATAGGTAAGGGCTTAATACTGACATTTTGTTAATTGTTTCTTAGGTGTTTTATAGATCTTTTGCTCCTTTCTTCCTCTCTTGCTGTCTTTGTGATTTGATGATTTTCTGTCGTGGTATGCTTTGATTCCTTTCTCTTTTGTATATGTACTGTCGATTTTTGCTTTGTAGTTTCCATGAGGCTTACATAAAACATCATATAGTTATAACATTCTATTTTAAGCTGGTTAACAACTCAACTTCATTTGCACACAAAAGGTCTATACTTTCACTCTACCCAGGCAAAATCTCTGAGCCAGGTCTGTGTCTCTGAAAGTGTATATGTAAATTAAAATTTTGTTTATCAAATCACATATTAAATACATGGAAAACATTTCTTTTTCAACTAGTTTTTTAAACCCTATACCAAATCTATCCAAATCAGGATGTAGGACTCGGGCTTAAGCATGTGTGTTTTGAAACTTCTCCGTGTATTTCTGATGCTCATCCCTGGTTAAGAAATCTGTCAGAGGGGCACCTGGGTGGCTCAATAGTTAAGCGTCTGCCTTCGGCTCAGGTCATGATCCCGGGGTCCTGGGATCGAGCCCCGCATTGGGCTCCTTGCTCCGTGGGAAGCCTGCTTCTCTCCTACTCCCCCTGCTTGTGTTCCCTCTCTCGCTGTGTCTCTCTCTGTCAAATAAATAAATAAAATCTTTAAAAAACAAAAAAAAGAAAGAAATCTGTGTCAGAGAGACTCACTAAATATTAATCCTCAGAGGGATGTGCTTGTAAAACTTTTGTCAAAACAATTTATCTCTGCTTCCCCTAGACTGACCCTTTTAAAACATGTGCCCGTCCTTATTTCTTTGTAATGGGCTATCTCCATAACTGTGACAAAGGATTGTCGTACTTGTCTGGTTTTATGATGTCTGTATTAGTTTTTCTCTTGCAGGTGAAAATGAGTTCCTCGGTAAGAAGAAAAGGCAAGCCGGGCAAAGGAGGTGGAAAAGGGTCTTCTAGAGGAGGAAGGGAAGGCAGGAGTCACGCGAGCAGATCTCACGGGGGCGGTGGTGGTGGTGCCGGCAACAGGAAAGCCTCGAGCAGAATGTGGGATGATGGCAATGACTTTTGCATCTTCAGCGAATCGAGGCGCTCATCCAGGTCATTATGCTTTTGTAATGTGTAAATGCAGAAAAGGTATCAATTCCTAATCTGTGGGACAGCAGAGAGCTAAGAGGAAGAGGGGGGAAATGCCGAGTAATTCCAGTCAAGTGAATCGTTCCTCTTATTTTAAAACCTTGCAGTCTCCCACTTTGTAACCTTTTCTAGAGGCATGTTGGCAAATAACGGCTTTTTTTTGCAAGGTCGGAATCTGAAGTTAACTTCAACTTACATGACACTGTGAATTGAATATAATACTGTTGCTGTAACTCCTGTTACCAGGAAAGTAAATCTTGGAAATGGCGAAAGTGATGAAAATTATTTTAAGAGTTTCTTACACATTGTAGTTTGAAAGTCCCAAAATGCTACTTGACTGTACTTGCTGTCTGTTTAGTTGATGGATTAATTATCTCTTTTCCAGACATCTCAGCCAAATCTTCACTGGTGCTTCCTGTGATGACCCGTGACAGAGTCATAGCCAGGCTTCTTTCGTACTCAACTTTTAAATAATGAGTAGATTCTGATAACTCTAATGAATATTTAGTGAAAGTAAAGATTTTACTGCTGCATGTTGTGCAGTATAGATAGAGAATTCTCGTCTCTCAAGTGGCACTGCAAGCTGTCTACTGGAATTTTTAGAGATGGAAAGATTTCTTTAAAGCTACACATACACACACACTCACTCTCTCTCTTTTGTGGGAATAACTCCCAACTAAATATTAGTTAGAAAGGAATATAGGTGAATGCTGGAGTTTAACTGCATCAAACATGCTTTTAACTTAAATGAATACATCTGTATGCACTCAGGAAAAGAAAAAGAAAAACAGATAGCATTTAAGTGGTTTAAACTTGCCACTAAATGAACTGAGCCCCACAGTGGGCAAGAAACGGAAGAAGAATTACAATTCCCTCGGTCAGTCTTAGTTTCCAAGTGCTTTTTGTCGTTGAAGCCACTTGATGTACTGAGTATGTGATTTTAGGGCTTAAATATATATTTTTTATACATAGTCCCTAACATAACCAAATACTTGATCTGATATTCAGCCAGAGAATCTACAATTTCTTTTGTTCTAGAAGAAAAATAGTCATTTCAGACATATTGAGAGCTAATATGTCAATCTCAAACTTGACACCTTTTTTAAAAGGAATCTAGGAATCTTCCAGGGTAATTTTAAGCTCTATTTTCACTTTACCTGCTGACTTAAGAACCTAACTTCTGAGTTAGATGCAGTCCCTTCTTTTTGAAAACGTAGACATTATAACTGGAGGTTCTTACCGTCTTTGGCATTCATTCATACAGCAAGTATGTCCTGAGCACCTACTAGGCACCAGGTATTTTTTAGGGACTAGAATTACAACAATGAATAAAATATTGTTCTTGTCTTCATAGAAGCAAGTTTGAGGTATAAAGACCTTAAACAATATCTAATATGTCAGGTAGAAAGTGCCCTGGAAAAAAATAAAAGAGGTAGAAAATGCCAAAGTAAACTGCTGTTATTTTTAAATAGTTGCTATTTATGTAGAGTGATCAGAGAAGGCTTCTAATAGCATGTCCTTTAAGCAGGGACAAGAAGGAAATGAAGGAGAGAGCTATGAAGCTACCTGAGGGAAGAACATTCAAGGCAGAAGAAACACCACGTACAAAGCCCCTCAGCCAGGAGTGTGCTTAGAAGGTTTAAGAAGTGGCAGGGAAGCATGTGGCTGGAGTGGATGGGTAAGAAGGAGAGTAACAGGCAGTTAGATCCAAGAGGCTAACACTGTGTAGGACTTGATTGGCCTTTATAAGGATTTTGGCTTTTGCTTTGAGAAAGATAGGAAGCCATTGCCGGCTTTGAGGCAAAGGTGTGTGACGTCATTCCCTCCGGCCAGAGGTGCTACTATTCAACATACGCCTTTATGTGAATTAGAAAACGGTGTCCCTTTAGGCAGTTATAGCCCCAGAGTATATGTGTGGTCTGCGCAACTATACTCAGTAGCCCTAACTCCGTATTCTGTGTGGAAAATAGACTCCAGGGGAGGCAGAGTTGGAAGCAGGAAGACTAGTTAGGAGATACTCTCCAAGTGGAAGTGTCACAGACAAGGTACTTCTAAGTCTGCAGTTCAAGGAAAAGATCTAAGCTAGAGAAGTTAATGTGAGTCCTCTGAATGACTTCGATTTAAAACTGTGAGATTGGATGAGATAGACTACGTAGAGAAGAGGCTTTGAGCCCTGGGATACTCTAGGCTTTAGAGCTGAGAGAGATTAGGAGAATCTGACAGAGGGGAGAGAGGAGTTGCCAGTGGCGTAGGAGGAAAACTAGGAGAGTTTGGTTTCTGGAATCGGGAAATAAAGGTGCTCTAAAGGGGATTATCCAGTCAGATAGGATGGGATACATAAAGGGGATATTCAGTTGTAAAGGAGTGCTTATAGAGCTCAAGAGAGATGTGCACTGGCCTCTGGATTTGGCAATGCGGATAGCATAGGTAACTTCTTTTTTTTAGGTTGCACATCCATTGCCTCATATAATTACAGTTTATTTATTTTTGGTGTGAACTTTTTTCTTTATTCAAGTCTAATTAATATACAGTCTTATAGTAGTTTCAGTTGTACGGTATAATTACTCAACAATCCTATACATTACTCAGTGCTCATCAAGATCAGTGTACTCTTTCTTAATCTCCATCGCCTGTTTCACCCTTTCCCCTGGCACCCACCACCCTTCTGGCAACCACCAGTTTGTTCCGTGTATTTTAAGAGTCTGCTTTTCTGCTTGTCTCTTTTTTTTTCTCTTTGTTCATTTGTTTTTGTTTCTTAAATTTTACATATATGAGTGAACTTCTAAGAACTGTCTTACCAAATTCGAACATATAAAACATTATAGTAAACTGTGGTCGCTGTGTTGTACACTACATCTCCAGAACACACTCATCTTATTACTAAGTTTGTTCCCTTCGATTTCCTTTACCCATTTGCCCCAGCTCCCCTTCTGCCCTATAGGAGTGATCACTTCCCCTAAGTAGGCCTAGAAGATGCAACGTTTTCTTCATTCCCACAAAGATGCTGAATCTAGTTATGACCCTCAGACCACTGGAGAACACATGTGAAGGCCACCAGGAATTTCTTGAACCGATGGGATAGACTGGAAATTTTGATATCACGTTTATTCATTTGAATTCAGGATTATTGGAGACTTCTGTTTTATTGAGGACTGAGATTATGCAGGTTACCACGGTAAGATTAACTAAGAAAATTATCTTATACATGGAAAAGTTTACAATCCAGATGTCCCTCACGTGTTGTTTCCCAAGAGTCAGGTAATTTCAGTTTTTAATTGGTATCTCCCTTTTCTGTGAATCCCAAAGCCAGATCTCACACTGTTTCTGTAGGTGGCATGACAATTCTATGCCTAGAGGAAAATGAGCTGACAGGATCTCTTCTCTATGGCCCCCCCTTTTGGTCTTTTCTCACGTACAGTTTTACTCCAAGGCCTCAGCTGGTGAATGTCTGCACCTTAGCTTCAGTAACAATAATGTTCAAGACTCTTGATGGGTGGTAGAATGAGGCAGGATTTTCTTAGTGTAGTGTTTGATTTTTCTCCTTATAATTTTGGTTTTAGGCCTCACTGAGTTATATCTATAGCATAGGTAACCTTGACAAGAGCTGTTTGATATAGTTGGTGAGGAGAAGCCCTGATTGCAGTGTGTGTCAGAGAGAAAAGGAAAGAAAGTGGAGACAAAGACAATGATTTAGATAACCGTTTTGAGGAGTTTTACAATAAAGGGCAGAGGAGGGAGGAGAGATAAGGCAATAGCTTGAGGCGGTGTGCACTCGAGGGGAGAATTTGGTTTGGTTTGGTTTTTTAAGATGGTGACATTATATAAGATGTGTGTATGCTGATGGGAATGCTCCGAGGGGAATGAAGAACCGATGATGTAGCGGGAAAGAGAAGTGCTGGGATGATTTCCTTGAGGAGATTGAAGAGATTGGGATACAGTGTACAAATAGAGGGATTGACTTTAGGATCTAGTGTGGTTCTTCCTTAGTAACAGAAAGGAAGGCAAAGTAAAGGGGTATACAGATAAATGGTGGATGAGAAAGGAGTATGTAGAATCCCCCCCCTTTTTTTAGCTAATCACGAGGAAGCAATTAGACAACTCCAAGTTGTGAGAATTTCTACAAGCTGACTGGCCTGAGCTCTTCCAAAAAGACAATGTCAGGAAATAGGAGAGAGAACTGTTCGAAATTAAGGGAGTTTGAAAAAAAGAATAGCTAAATATCATTTTTAATTAGATAATCAAAAAAATCTGGGGCACCTGGGTGGCTTGGTCGGTTAAGTGTCTGCCTTTGGCTGAGGTCATGATCTCAGGGTCCTGGGATCAAGCCCAGCATCAGGCTTCCTGCTCAGCGGGGAGTCTGCTTCTCCCTCTCCCTCTGCTCCTTGCGCCCCCCCCACTTGTACTCTCTCTCTCTCTCAAATAAATAAATAAAATCTTAAGAAAAATCTATAGAGGACATGACTGAAGCAGTTGGGAACTTTGAATATGGATTATATATTAGATGATATTATATCAATATAAAATATGAGTGATAATAGTATTATGGTTATGTAAGAATCTCTCTCTGTTCTTAGAAAAGGCATGCTGAAATATTTAAGAGTGAATATGATCTCTGCATGATGTCTGCAGCATACTTTCAGACGGTTTAGCAATATATACATAAAATGGGGCAATATCATAGGCATATATGTGTGTAGAGAGAGAAGATGAGATGTGCATAAATGTGTCTGCGCATTAATGTATGGCAAATGTTAACAACTGGTGAATCTAGGTAAAAGATGTTTATTTCTATAGGTTTAAATTTTTTCAAAACAAAAAATTAGAGGTCTCTTTGCCTGGCTGGCTCAGTTGGTAGAGCAAACCACTCTTGATCTCGGAGTTATAAGTTTGAGCCCCACGTTAGGTGTAGAGATTACCCTTTTTTTTTTTTTTTAAGATTGATTGATTGATTGATTGATTGATTTGACAGAGAGAGGCACAGCGAGAGAGGGAACACAGCAGGGGGAGTGGGAGAGGGAGAGGCAGGCCTCCCGCCGAGCAGGGAGCCCTATGCGGGGCTCGATCCCAGGACCCTGGGATCATGACCTCAGCGAAGGCAGACACTTAACAACTGAGCCACCCAGGCGCCCCTAGAGATTACTTTTTAAAACAGTCCTAAAACTGACCCTCTAAAGTGTAGGTTCCATTTGTGTTTGTGTGTGTGTGTGTTCCATTATTGAGGAGCGCCTGGCTTGTTCAGTTGACAGAACACGTGACTCTTGATGTCAGGGTCATGAGTTCAAGCCCCACAGTGGGCCTGGAGCCTACTTTAAAAAAAAAGAAAAAAAGCTGTTAGAGGAAATGATAGACTTGGTGCAACATTTCTTTTCAGAAATTGTGACTAAGTGGCTAAAACCACAGTCGATTATATTTTCTCCTTTGCTACCCAGTGTTGCAAGTATACGTGTGTGGTTCTTTTCAAAGTCTCAGTTTTGTGGATTGAGATTTTAAACACAAAAAAGTTTCTTCCATTTCCCTAGATTTGTGAAAATTTATAATGAAACATGCCAGACGAAAAAAAGAAATTTAGTGAATAATGTTAAACTTTTGAATTTGTTTTTTTAAATATTAAAAAGAGTACCTAAAAAAATCTAAAATCCAACAATGAAAGATTAGTGAAATAAATTCCAGTGCATCTATATCTATACATAACCATTTAAAAACATGTTGTAGGAGAATATTTAATCTTAGAGAAATACCAGTTTTATTTTGATAAGGAAATAAAGCAAATTATAAAAGATTATATGTGCTGTATAATTTTATTTATAAATGTCTGTGAAAAGAATTGATGTGAATTAGGATGACTTCTGTTTTCTACATTTCTCCAGTGAACATGTATTTATTATTATTATTTTTGTAATCAGGAAATAATGATAACTTAGGTAAATATTTCAAAAGCAGGACCTAATATTCACAAGTAAAATGAGACCCTTCATTGTTTTCAGATTGGGTACCTAAAGTAGAATGAAATAACAGTTTGTGTGTAATGTATTTCTTTTGAAAGTCCTCTATTCCAGCAGGAGTCATCATAGCATTAGTTTTTCCAGAGGATTCTTGAGTTAGTGAAGCCAGATTTAATGATTAAGAATCTAATCAGGTGTTTTTACAGCAGTGGCAAGATAATGAAGTCTAGTCAGTACTATAGAAAACAGGGAATTCTTCACATTCATTGTTACCATTTGTAAGATACTTAACAGTCCAGTTCGTGTTGTCTGTATTTGGGGGCTGTGGGGAGAATGTCAAAGTGCTGGTCCCAAGTAAATCTGTCCTTTGCAGACCTAGCAACAGTAGCGTAAGAAAAGGAGAGGCACGCCCCAAATGGAAGCCTGAAGCCAAAGTGCCCCTTCAAACCCTGCACATGACTTCTGAGAACCAAGAGAAAGTGAAAGCTCTTCTCCGGGACCTCCAAGAACAAGATGCGGATGCTGGATCTGAGTAAATCATTTTATTTGAGTAAATTCGTATATTAAGGAAGGCAGTGGGAAGGTCCTGTGTGTCTTTGGGAGTACTTTTCAATACTGATCCCATTGTGACAATATAATTAGTTGAAAGTGACCTGAGAGAAATACAAGAATAACTATTCAACAGCAGTTTTAGAGTAAGTTTGTTTTGCAATATCTGCAAGCAGTACAGATTGGCTTTTTAGCTTCTTTTCCGAAGACAGCACTGAAACGGATTCAGTAATTGCTTTATTCACAGCCTTCCAAATAAAACCTTGGAGTGTACAGTAGCAGTATTGTTGTAGGAGTAAATATTGACTTGATGAGATGAAGTCTTAGGGGTACACTTTCTGATAACCATCTGCCTAAGAGAAACAACTTTTACTGTTCTGCTTTGTGATTTCAGTCAAAGAAGGCAATTCATTGCATTTGCCACAACTAATGGGTGGTCAATCATGAACAGCTCCATCTCCATCTTATCTACAAATCTCTTTATCTGCCTTAGATTTAGGAAAGGTGGTTATGCAGCAAAGCAAAAAATGAGGGATGGTTTTTATGAATGAGGAGAGAGGATAGCCAGGGCTTCTGTGGTTAAGAATATAGGCTCTGGGGTCAGACTGCCTTTGTTAAAATCTCCAGTTGCTCTTTACTGTATAACCTTTGGCAATTACTAATCTTCTCTAAGTTTTAGTTGATCATCTGAAAAATGGAGATTCCAGTAGTATCTGGTTAAGGGTTAGTGGGAAGACTTTTAAAGAGATAGAACATATAAAACACTTAACATAGTACCTGGCATGTAATAAATGCCGGATAAATATTAATTGCCAAGATATAAATGAATAGATCAATAGAAGTTTAAATTAGTAACTGAAGAATGGTTAGCATCCTATGTCCTCTGGCTCCTTGAACTAAATTCTTAGACTCTTGCTAAATTTTTCTTGGAAGTGCATGGAAATTAGTATCTAATATATGAAAATGTTACCTTTGTCAGAAGAGGCATTTCTGGGGAGGAGGAAGATGACGAGCCTGAGTGTGATGATGAGCAGTACTGGTCTGCTGGACGAGAAGCTTCCCTTGTTCCTGACTGTGACCCTTTGGAATATGCTGGCTCAGGCCCAGTGGAGCCTCATAGTCCAGAATTTACAGTCTCAACATTTGCAGTGCAGAAACTTTCCAGGTGATTGCTTCCAACATTTACGGGAGTTAGGGGAGATCATCCTGTAAACCCAACTACGCCTCCTTGAGTACTTTCCTCTTGTGTGGGTTGCAGCGGTGCGTGATATATGTCCAATATCCTGTCTTTCAGAACAAGGTGATTAGGGAGTATTAGCAGAGAAACTTTTTCAAAATACAGATCCTGCCTATATATGGTTATAACTGCACATAAACGTACATAAGTGAATTTCACTTTTGTGATTTGATACTACCTAATATTTTTTGTCACGTTTCACACTCGGTAGGTATGGCTTCAGCACTGAACACTGTCAGGCAGCCCTGAGGATTTGTGATGGAGATGTGGGGGCTTCACTAGAACATCTGCTCACACAGTGTTTTTCAGAGACATTTGGGGAGAAGATGAAGATCTCTGAGGCAGGTGCCCATGTAAGCTTGGATGAGTGTGTGGAACAGCGGCAGGAAGAGGCATTTGCTCTCAAGTCCATCTGTGGAGAGAAATTCATAGAAAGAATTCAGAACCGAGTCTGGACCATTGGATTAGAACTGGAGTATTTGACGAGTAAATTCTGCAAATCCAAGCAAAAGGAAAGTACCAAAAATGCACAGGACACTACACTTGAAATCTGTAAATTTTACCTCAAAGGAAATTGCAAATTTGGATCAAGATGCAAATTCAAACATGAAGTGCCCCCAAATCAAATTGTCGGAAGAGCAGAAAGAATTGTAGATGATTCTCATCTTAATGTCCATGAAGATGCCTCTTTTTTATATGAACTTGAAATTCGATTTTCTAAAGACCACAAATACCCTTACCAAGCTCCGCTTGTGGCATTTTATTCCACCAGTGAGAATCTACCTCTGGCTTGTCGTTTACATATTTCTGAGTTCCTTTATGGCAAGGCCTTGACATTTGCAGAAACTTCAGAACCTGTTGTATATTCTTTGATAACCCTCTTAGAGGAAGAATCAGAAATAGTCAACTTACTGACAAATACCCATCACAAGTACAGTGTCCCTCCTGTGAACTTTCTGCCAGTATCCTCTGGGACCAGAATAAATAATCCTGTCTGTCGTAAACCAGTGATTCCAAGTAATTCTTTTGCTTCAAATCAAATTCCTGAAGGTATGTAAGGCCTTGATTGTGTGGAGGGCTTTGTGGAGGGGGTGTTCAGAATGGTGGATTGAGGAAGTCAGTGTTTCCAAGGGCTGCCCTCGGATCTCCTGGTGATCTTAGGCAAATCATTCTCCTCAGTCCATGGACAAAAGGGAATGAGAAGCCCCTGAACTGTGGCCTGACTTTAAGTCCCAGTTTCGGCATCATGATTGGGCTCTCTGCATTGAAAGTTTGGAACGATGTGTAAGTTTATTCAAGCAGTTGGGGGCTGGAAGAACCTTAAAGCATCTTCCTAGAAAAACTGTTTTGTTGAATTCATTTCGTTTCACATGTTTACTTCTGATGCTTTACACAGAATTACTTTCAAATGAGTTTTTAGAGATATTTCTCTTTCTGTAGTACACTAGACCCCCAAAGTTCATTAGCATAGGGCTACCTTTATGAATCCCTAAATCCTCAAAGAAATGTTGGTGCAAGTTTCTGGCTGTATCGAAATCCAGATTTGCTATACAGATTCTTACACCACAATTAAACTCCTTGTTCAAAGTTCATCAAAGAATTCTCTCTGTTGCCATCTTTCTTTGAGAGAAACAAGTTTTTATTATTTCACAAGAGTTCTTAGGTAAACATCAATAAGTAGAGAACAATGAAATTGCATTGAGATGGGGAATATCCCGGTGGACGTTTGGGTAGGTTCACTCACTAGCCACTTGCTCCCAAACAGCAGTTTCTAACGTGTGGGATTCAAATATATTCCTTGAGAAATGACAAATTGTGTGGCCTGGACTTTTTTTTTTTTTTTAAAGATTTTATTTATTTATTTGACAGAGAAAGACACAACAAAAGAGGGACCACAAGCAAAGGCAGTGGGAGAGGGAGAGGCAGGCTTCCCGCAGAGCAGGGAGCCTGATGCGGGGCTCGATCCCAGGACCCTGGGATCATGACCTGAGCCGAAGGCAGACGCTTAATGACTGAGCCACTCAGGCGCCCTGGCCTGGACTTTTTTAAGTAACAGCTTTATTGAGATAAAATTTACATACCATAAAATTCACCCTTAATTTTAAAGTGTACAGTTCAGTGGGTTTTTAGTATATTCACAGATTTATGCAACCGTGACCGCTATCTAATTCCAGAACATTTTTATCAACCCTAAAAGAAACCCCATACTTAGTAGCGGTGAGTCCTTATTTCTCCCTTCCCTCAACCCCTGACAACCGTGAATCTACATTCCGTCTCTATGCATTTGCCTATTCTGTACACTTTATAGAAATGGAATCATACAATATGTGGCTTTTGTGATTGGCTTCTTTCACTTCGCATCATGTTTTCAAGGTTCATTCATATTGTAGGATGTATCAATACTTCATTTTATTGCTGAATAATATTCCATTATATGAACGTGCCGTATTTTGTTTATTGATTTATCATTTGATAGATATCTGGGTGGTTTTATGTCATGAGATTTTAGGAACACTTGCAAATAGTTGAAACTTTCAGTTAATTCCTTGAATGTAAAGAGTCTATGGAATTAACAAGGCGTGCCATGATTTTTTTCTTCCTTGTTTTTAATTTGGTTTAGCAATAGCCACTTGTACTTGATGAAAGTTTATTTGAAGATGTATTTTAAGTTCTTTAGCAGTAGAAGTAGTTGTTTGAAATGAATTAACCTGCTTTATTCAAGCTTTTAACTTTTTCTCCATCTTACGATTTTGTTGTTGTTGTTACTTTATTAGATAGTGATTTTCCCCCTTTGCTAAAGAAAGGGCTCCATATTGAAAATGTTTCCTTTTATCCCCTTCAAGTTGAAAAAGAATCAGAACCTGAGGAGGAGACAGATGAGGATGAAGGTCCTGCACCAGTTATAGTGGAGAATGAAAGCTATGTGAACCTTAAGAAAAAGATTTCCAAAAGATATGACTGGCAGGCAAAATCAGTACATGCTGAAAATGCTAAAATCTGCAAGCAGTTCCGAATAAAACAGGTAGGGTATTCTGAGAGAATGGCTAGCATTGCCTCCCTAATGTACAGGTGAACGGGTTAGGAATTAGGAAGCCTGGGCTACCTTCCCTAGTTTACTTTTGGTTCTCTTTAACTCTGAGTGGTCAAATTTTCTGCATGCCACAGCAAACTTGGGTGCATGTTGTAGATAGTTTTGGAAAATCCAATGGCTGGTGAAAATGAAACACGTGCATATATATCAAATATTCTCAGAATCATGTGGCTTTCGTACTCTGCTAGACAATCTGATAAGTGAAATGAAAATTAAAACTGATTTACATTAGAAAAAAATAGTGTAGAAAGGAGAAGGATAAGGAGGGACCCTTACCCCATATCAGAGAATCACAGGATAAATAACTTACCCAAGGTCACATAGCTAGTAGGTGGCAACAGGGATTCAAGTTAATTCTCTGTTCCTAAAGTCCATGCTGTTTTTATCCCATTCACAAGAAGATTATTTTAAAAGAACCTATGAGTGAACATTTAGGGCAGAGTTGGGTGTAGAACAAAAGGTTGCATAACCATTTTGGGGATTGGATTAGGGATGTGTCTAACAGCTCTTCTAATTGTGAAGTTCAGATTCTGATTTTTGACACAGTATAACACTATCGCATATTAGAGTGCAATACCTGTAGAATGTCAAAGTGAATAGAAATTGACACCATAATTAAATAGTAAGACGGTAGGAACAAAAAATTCCACATTCAATTTGATCAGTTTGTGTTCAGAGGTAATAAATTTATATGATAAAATAATATGCAGAAAAATGATGTGTTAGTATAAATTTCTTATTCAAAAATACATCTTTAACAATGAATCATGGAATACTACATCAAAAACTAATGATGTAATGTATGGTGACTAACATAATAAAAAAAAATAAGAAATGTACCTTGGATACTTTTCTAAAAAAAAAAAACCCAAAAAATACCTCCTTAGTTTTAGCATATACTACAATGTTTATTGGCCATTGGATGTCGGACTGAGTTACATATATGTAATGCCTGGCCAAAAAGAACCCTTTCATGAGTGCTCTTACTGTTACTGACTTTAGTAAAAATCTGATACGGTATAGAACTACACTGTCCAATGTGGTAGCCCCTAGCCACATGTGGCTATTTACATTTAATTAAACTTAAATAAAATTAAAATTCAGTTCCTCAGTAGCACTGGCCACATTTTAAGTACTTACTAGCCATATGTAGCCAGAGGTTGTTACATTGGTCAATGCTAAAAAACATTTCCATTAACGTGGAAAGTTCTGTTGGATAATGCTGATGCAGAGACTCCTGCTAGGAAGAGCTAGATGGTGCTAAGCAGGACGGCTCATTTCTCTCATAAGATCTTGCAGTTTATTCAGATGTAGGAAAACCATAAAGATTTCACAGCTTGTTCTGGCTGATTCTCTGAGCAGCCTCCTGACTGAAGTCATCAGCATCCAATCCTAACAAATCTACAATTTCTGTCTCTGAGCAAATTGTTAAAGAAAGAGCAGAAAGGGTGGTTCAAGCTATCGGATTCAACACTCAGAGCTTTGTGAAAGATGATTGAAAGTACCTAACTGATACCTTATCTTTTATGTTATTAGGCTTCCAGACAGTTCCAGTCAATTCTGCAAGAAAGACAATCACTCCCTGCTTGGGAAGAAAGAGAAACCATTCTTAAGTTGTTGAGTGAGCACCAAGTGCTTGTTATAAGTGGTATGACTGGGTAAGAATGCAATTTATTTGTAATGCAGCTTTCATCCATGAATATGGTATGTACCCTGGTTACCATAACCAGTTCTACTTGTAAAAAACTAGTAGCTGTTATTATTTGTGGTTTTTCTGGTCAGATACAAAATAATATTTCACAGAACATAATATTGTGTATCTGCAGCCAACAGACCTAAATTACAAAAAAAAAAAACAAAAACAAACTCAGAAATCCATCCAGGAATTTACAGACATTGTACTCCTCTGCCATGAGACAGTTTTTTTTAAAGATTTTATTTATTTGACAGAGAGAGACACAGTGAGAGAGGGAACACAAGCAGGAGGAGTGGGAGAGGGAGGGAGAAGCAGGCTTCCTGCCGAGCAGGGAGCCCGATGTGGGGCTCGATCCCAGGACCCTGGGACCATGACCTGAGCCGAAGGCAGATGCTTAATGACTGAGCCACCCAGGGGCCCCTGCCTTGAGACAATTTTAAGGCAAAAGGTCTAACTGAATACTTTTTTTTGGTAAGACTTTTTTTTAAAAAATATTTATTTGAGAGAGAGAAAGCATGTGAGCACACAGTAGGAGGGGCAGAGGGGGAGGAGAGAACATCTTAAACCCAGAGCCCAACATGGGGCTCAATCTCACAATCCTGAGATAAGTACCTGAACTGAAACCAAGAGTCAGACACTTAACTGACTACACCACCCAGGTGCCCCTTACTGAATGCTTTTAACAGGCCCATTTTTTTATGTAAAGGATAGTTCCAGAACATACATAAATTTATTTATTTATTTTAAAAGATTGGGACACCTGGGTGGCTCAGTCAAACATCTGCCTTTGGCTCAGGTCATGAGCCTGCTTCTCCCTCAGCCTGCTGCTCCCCCTGCTTGTGTGCTCTCTCTCTGACAAATAAATAAGTAAAATCTTAAAAAAAAAAAAAAAAAAAGATTTATTTGAGAGAGAGAGAGCACATGTGTGCATGCAAGCTGGGGGAGGGGCAGAGGGAGAGTGAGAGAGAATTCGCAAGCTGATGCCTCCCCACTGAGCATGGAGCCCGATGGGGGGCCTTAATCCCAGGACCCTGAGATCATGACCTGAGCTGAAATCAAGAGCCAGCTGTTTAACCAGCTGAGCCACTCAGGCACCCCTCCAGAACATTTAACTTGGACATTTTCCTCTTCTAAATTTATTCTGATTTCCTTACAGCTTTTATTTGTTCTTTTAAGAACAACTTAGGGCATATTATCTTTCCTGTTTCACACTTTTCATATGTTATCCAAACTTATTTAACAAGGACAGGTTCTAGGCTTAATTTAGTTCTATATTCAAAGTTATTCAACCTAATAATTATATTTGTGCCCAGACTCACTGATACAGTAGTAATTGGAGATCTTCCAGTTTCTTATCTTTTTCACCTCAGTCCACTTATAGCCAAATCAGTAAGATAATACATAAAATCATAAAAGAATACTCCCATTTCTTTAGGATTCAAATACAGAGTTCATATTCCTAGAGGTATTTACAGAACTTGATCTAATGTCTGCTCAATTGTCCCAATTTTATAAATGATACTAAACTATTATATGAGTGTCCTGTTACTCCAAGTGCAAATTCCTAGCAGTTATGAGCTATAGGTAACAAGTCAGTAGGTCAGTTTAGAAGATAAAGGAAGCTGAACAAGTTTTATTATAATTGGCTTTCTCACTTCCCTCATTGCACATGGTTCCTTTTTTTTGGTAACTAGCACTTGAAAACTCTCATTTTAGGACTTATTTGTTTTGACATACAGATGTGGGAAAACTACACAGATTCCTCAGTTTATTCTGGATGATTCTCTGAATGGACCACCTGAGAAAGTGGCTAACATCATCTGTACCCAACCCCGACGAATCTCAGCAATATCTGTTGCTGAACGTGTTGCTAAAGAAAGGACAGAAAGAGTGGGTCTGACTGTGGGGTACCAGATCCGGCTAGAAAGTGTCAAGGTTTGTATACTCTGCTTATTTCCTGGTAATAGAAATTTTGTTTTTCAAGTATAAAGAGTTCTTGGATTCTAGCGACTCATGGGCAAGTTGGGATGCATACTTCAGTACGGCTGAAGACCTTTTAGAAATATTTTGGTATAAGAATTCTTATTTGGGTATACTTCATTTCCTCTATAAAGACCTTTTATTCTTCATTGGCAGAAATGATCTAGTAAGTGCTGTTTTACTCTTAAACCTGGGACTTAATCCATTTAACCAAATAAGGAATGGACAAATGCAGAATTGAGTTCATCACTCGCTGTTGTTTTTATGTTTTATAATAATTTTTTAATGCTTTTTATGAGTCTTACACTTAAAATTTTGATATGAAGTAGAAAAGCTTTTACTGTTGTTGCCAGCAAGAAACTATGCATTTAGTGTGGTTTCATATTAAATGCAACTGCTGATATTTTCAAGATTCTTTGTCCCTATCCGTTCAAAATGGCTTTGCCATATTGGCTTTGAAAGTGTTTCCTTTTTGCAAAAATTCCATGAATGCTTTCTGTGCCCTTTTCTGTGTAAGTCCTCAGCCACCAGACTGTTATACTGCACCACAGGCGTGCTGCTGAGAAGGCTGGAAGGAGACACAGCTCTCCAAGGAGTCACCCATATCATTGTTGATGAAGTTCATGAGAGGACAGAAGAAAGGTAAACTAAAGAGTTTCTAAAAAATAGCCACACACATAAAATGAAGGCATGGCTGAAATAATTTTGTTCTGTTTCCAGTTCAGTTTCATAGAGCTAGAGAGGAAGGCCACAGAGAAGGCCCAAGTTAGAGAAGAGGAACTGCTTTCCTGATCTATGGGGTCTAGAATACTCAGAATGCTAGGAGGGCACATGTTCATCACTAGAAGAGTCATCCTGTTAGATGGACATCTTCTACCAGGAGATATTTAACACCCTCCTGGGCTTCATGCTGAGCTGGGCACTGTACTTAGTAGGAATAACAGGTGTAACCAGTGCTGTAGTTGATAGATGGGTCAGTATGTGCTTCCTTCTTTGTTCATTTGGTCAGTCATTCAGTCCTGACAGCCATTCATACATTTATTGAGACTGTCTTAAGTGCCACATGATCTGTTAATTGCTGGGGATACTATAGGAAATAAGCATATGTAGTTCTCCTTTTTCTCATGGTCTGGTAGGAAAAACAAATAATGAACAAATAAATAAAGACTTACGAATTGGAGTAAGTACTCTGAAGGAATAAATAGGATGCTGTGTTCTGGGGAGAGGGATCCATGAGATGGTCAGAGCTGATATCTCTCAAGAGATGATGATTAAATTAAAATCTGAAGTATGAGAAGGCATCCCATGTGACAGGTGGAGGCAAGGCCAGCATTCGCAGACTGCAGTGGGAAAGGGCATCATGAGCCCAGAAAGTGGAGGAAGGCCTGTGCAGCTGGTTGTAATAAACAAGGGGAAAAGTGGCAGGTAGAAAAGGCAGGAGCCAGATCTTCCAGGGCCTTGTATACCCTGGACAATAAAACATTTAGAATTTATTTTAATGGAATTAGAAGTCATTAAAGGTTGGGATATAAAATCAAAATCTTCAATATTTTAAAAGGAAGGACCAAGTAAATAGATGGCATTAATCATAGTTTGTCATAGTTTGTGGATCATTTTCTAGAACAACGACGACAACAAAAAACTAATGGGGAAAAAAAAGACAATCCTGTAAAAAATTTGAGCCTTTCCCAAAAAGGACTATACTATTATAAATATTTTGAGAACAAAGTCTAAAGTTGGCAGACTGACAGAGAAGCAGAAAATAGCTAATAGCAAAATTTTAAAAAGGAAAAAAACAAACATGAAAAGAGTCTCCAACTATTGCTGATAAAAAGTTTTTAAACTCTGAACAGGGAAGACATATGACGAGAAGACTATCTGTTCAAAGAAATAAATACATTGATGCACTAGTAAATAGGAAGTATGAAGTAATTAGAAACTAAAGAAAAGCAGACTTGCATATAAAAAGAATAGATCAAAATAAAAAGAAATAATTCCTAGAACACAACAATAGTAAACTTTAATTTTTTTAAAGGTTTTATTTATTTATTTGACACAGAGAGAGAGAGAGAGAGAGAGAGAGAGAGAGAGAGAGAGGAGAAGCAGGGGGAGGGGCAGGCAGAGGAAGAAACAGACTCCCCCCTGAGCAGGGAGCCTAACTCAGAACTTGATCCCAGGACCCTGGGATCATAACCTGAGCTGAAGGCAGACGCTTAACCGACTGAGCCACCCAGTCCCCCCCCCCTTTTTTTTTTTAAGATTTTATTTATTTGTCAGAGAGAGAGCACACAAGCAGGGGGAGCGGCAGGCAGAGGGAGAAGCAGGCTCCCTATTGAGCAGGGAGCCTGCCACGGAACTCAATCCCAGGACCCTGGGATCAACTTTTCATGTATTTTGAGCAATGAATGTAAGACTTATGTAAAAAAAAAAACTATAAATCTCATAAAAAGATGTGTCATGATCCTAGATGTGAAGACTTAAAATTAAAAAGATATCCCCCAAATAAACTAAAGTCAGTGTAGTACCAATCAAAATACTAACAGGATCTATCATTGCATTTGGTAATTCTACTTCTTGATATCTACATGTACATAATGAAGAATATACAAAGATTTTCATGACTGCATTGTTTATAATAGTAAAACAATGGAAACTACTTAAATGTCCATCAACCAAAAAGTGGTTAACTACTACAGAATCACCCATTCTATGGAATAACGTGAGACAGATAAAAGGAATAAAGTAGAGCTTTAGATACTGACATGAAAACATCTCTAAGATGTAGTGAAAAAACCCAAGTTGTAGAATAATATGTGCTATAGAAAAGCAGTATCCTCACTGGTCTCCCTGCTTCAGCCCATCCCCTTGCAATCTAGTCTCAATAGAGCAGACCAACAGTTCTATTCAAATATAAATCTTACTATGCCATTTTTCTGCTCATCATCCTCTGATGACTTATTAAAGTCCTCACCAACAAGTTAGGCCCTACGTGACATGATCTGCATCACCACTGCTCATCTCCTGCTGCTCTCCCCTTATTCAGTCGCTCTAGCCACATTGTCCTCCTTGCTGTCCTTGAAGTATGTACCTCGGGTCCTTTGCACATGTTATTAATCTGCCAGTTGGGGCGCCTGGGTGGCTCAGTCATTAAGCATCTGCCTTCGGCTCAGGTTGTGATCCCAGGGTCCTGGGATCGAGCCCTGCATCGGGCTCCCTGCTCAGTGGGAAGCCTGCTTCTCCCTCTCCCACTCCCCCTGCTTGTGTTCCCTCTCTCACTGCCTATCTCTGTCAAATAAATAAATAAAATAAAATCTTTAAAAAAAAAAAAATCTGCCAGTTATGGGATTCTCCCACACATTCACGGTAGCTCCCTCACTTCCTTCAAGTCTTTACTCAAAGATACCTTTTCAGCTAGGCCTGCCCTAGATGAAAAATAAATAAATAAATAAATAATATTTATTAATATTAATAAATAGAATCTTTAAAAAAATACATCAAAAGTAAATTCATTTTTATGTACTGAATTTGTTTGATCTTCAGGTGTTTCTTTTATTTCCTTTAGTGACTTCTTGCTGCTAGTCTTGAAGGACATTGTGTTGCAGAGACCAACTCTTCAAGTTATTCTAATGAGTGCAACTTTAAATGCTGAGCTCTTTTCAGAATATTTCAGTTCCTGCCCAGTTATTACTATACCAGGTGATTAAAATGCATCCTTAAATATGCATTGTTCTGATAAGCAAATATAATTATTTTTAAAGTTCATTTGAGATATAAAATAACAGGTATTTATATCTTTTCTGGAGAAGTGATTCGTTTATAACAAATAAAATTATGACCATATAATGAAATAAATAAAGAAGTAACATATCCATTTGCTAAGAGATTTCAGTTTTATATGTGCTCTTTTAAAAAGTCTAGGTTATTAGGATTTCTAGCATTCCATTGTGTTTAACATCAAAGTGTGAGTTAATAATGGTAATCTGTCATAAAGAGGGAAGTTGTCTCTGTGTATAAGCATATTGGTTCATTGCTGGATGCAGCTAACTTTCTGGGTGTTGGTCTACTCTGGGAGAAAGTGAAGTTGAATAGTCTATGTCTTCTGGTGTTTTCACAATCTCATTGTGGGATTAATTTATCACCTTGGGCTTTGCTCTATCTGTCTGCGATTTGTTGCCAAAGGAATGATCTGGGGACAATTTTGACGAATAATCGCACTATTTCTTCTAGTTGTTGAATGGTTCAAAGTTCCCTGAGGCAGAGAAGGGGAGGGTGAGAAAAGTGTAACAGGTTTAAAAAAAAAGAGAGGTTTAAAAAAAAAGTGTTATAAACGAGCATCTCTCCACCTATGCACTTCTGGGTTTTTTTACAAGCTGGAATCTATATCCCTTCTAATTTCAATCATCAGAAGCTTTTGGTTTTCTTTTTTTTTTTTTTTTGTAAGATTTTATTTATTTATTTGACAGAGAGAGAGACAGCAAGAGAGGGAACACAAGTAGGGGGAGTGGGAGAGGGAGAAGCAGGCTTCCTGCGGAGCAGGGAACCTGATGCAGAGCTTGATCCCAGGACCTTGGGATCATGACCTGAGCTGAAGGCAGACACTTAACCAGCTTAGCCAGCCAGGCGCCCAACCTTTTGTTTTTCTTTTTTGATATTTTTAAGACCACAGAACAAACCATCCCTTATTGTGCCAGGCTTTGTTTTAAGAGAATTTTACATATGCCAACTATTTATTTCAAGATAGTTGAACAGGTATTCTGAGGCTTTTCTCTTTTATTTTCTTGTTCTTCTAGGCCGCACATTTCCTGTTGATCAGTTTTTTCTGGAAGATGCAATTGCTGTGACAAGGTAAGGAAGACATTAATGAAGGTTTGTTGAAAGTCTTTGAAAGAATTACCATTTTAGCTCAGTGTGCCAGCATTTTAATAGATGTGTTCGTTTTTCTGTAATTTTTCTGCTTGAGCATTTTGTTTTCCCCTTTCAGCAAATATTATACAAATTATTTGCAATTCACAGACAATATTATATATTGTCAGTACTGACTGGAACCCTAATGTAAACTATAGGCTTTGGGTGTTCATGATGTACCACTGTCGGTTCATCAGTTATAATAATTATACCACTCTGGTGGGGGGGTATTGATTATGAGGGAGGCTATGCATATGTGGGTAACAGGGGGTATTGGGAAATCTCTATACCTTCTGCTCAATATTGCTGTGAACTAAAACTGCTCTGAAGAATGAAGTCTATTAAAAAAAAAATGATGAAGGACCAAATATGTGGAAAATTTAATAAGAAAGAAAAAGACCAGGGACGCCTGGGTGGCTCAGTCGGTAAGCATCTGCCTACGGCTCAGGTCATGATCCCAGGGTCCTGGGATCGAGCCCTGCATCTGGCTCCCTGCTCAGCAGGAAGCCTGCTTCTCCCTCTCCCACTCCCCCTGCTTGTGTTCCCTCTCTTGCTGTCTCTCTCTCTGTCAAATAAATAAATAATATCTTAAAAAAAAAAAAAGAAAGAAAGAAAGAAAAAAAAAAGACCAATTCTGCAGATAGACTGCCAGTATTTAAATCCCTCTACTTACTAAGGGCATCAGGCTGGCTCAGTCGGAGGAGCATGTGACTCTTGATCTTAGGGTTGTGAGTTTGAGCACGTTGGGAATAGAGATTACTTAAATAGATAACTTTTTTTTAAAGATTTATTTTTTTGACAGAGACACAGTGAGAGAGGGAACACAAGCAGGGGGAGTGGCAGAGGGAGAACAGGCTTCCCGCTGAGCAGGGAGCCCGATGTGGGGCTAGATCCCAGGACCCTGGGATCATGACCTGAGCCGAAAGTAGTTGCTTAACCGACTGAGCCATCAGGCACCCCTAAATAGATAATTTAAAAAAAGAAAATCCTTCTGCCTACTAACTGTAACATTGATAAGTAGCTTAATCTCTCTGTGACTCAGTTTCATCATATGTAAATGGTCATATTGTTAACAGCTGCTTCACAGGGTTGTTATAAGGAGTAATTAATTAATTAATTCTTGGAGTTAATAGGTGCAAAGGGCCTAGAACTGATCCTGGTGCATAGCAAATGCTTTATAAAAGTTAGCTATTATCATCATCATCCTGCAAGCCTCAGGGAGCTTGCAGTGTAGTGTGAGTATTAAGATGTCTGTAATTTCAGAACTGGGCAGAAAATGGCCATTTCCATTGAATACATTTTTCTCCTTGAAAGCCCTGATTCCTCTTCCCACTTTTTGACCTTCCCACTTTTTGACTCCCCATGATTTTATCCTTGCAGTATTTCTTCTCACTGTTAAACTCTTTCATCCCTCTGTTAGACTCACGTGATTTCAAACATCACCTCTGTGCCAAGAATTCCCAGATCATCATCTTCATTCCTGACCTCTGAGTTCCAGAAGTAAAATACCCTTGATGTCTGGCACCTGAATTCAATTCAGAAGTTTTCTCCTTCACCCTGCCTCTTCCATTTCTAATAAGCACCACTCCCAATTCTCTGATTATTTAATGGTGCGATATTGTCAAGCTAAAAACCTAAAACCAGTGGCTCTCAAACTTCAGTGTGCAATAAGCATACGTAGGGAGCTTATTACAATTGTTATTCTCTGGGCCCCATCCCACTTCCATTGAATGTGAATCTCTGGGGAAATTAATCTTTCAACTAGTTTCCTGGTCTTTATTCTCTCACTTTCAAACTCAGACTCACTGCCTCCAGAATGATCTTGAGACAGAAGCAAAAGCATTCCAGGGGTTCCCTCCCAGAAATAGGGTCTAGCCAGCAGAACCCTAGACCGGTGGAAGAGTAGCACGCGAATTGGGCAGAAGCAGAGCAACGTTCTGCAGAATGAGCATATAAATCAGTGAAATTTTTCATTTCTCGCCAACAGACCCACATACACACAGACCCATTCCTTTGTCTTCCTTCCTCAGGTATGTGTTACAGGACGGGAGCCCATATATGCGCTCCATGAAGCAGATGACAAAGGAGAAGCTGAAAGCAAGGCGCAGCAGAACTGCATTTGAAGAAGTAGAGGAAGACCTGAGGCTCTCTCTTCACCTCCAGCCCCAGGATTCTGTCAAAGATGCAGTGCCAGATCAACAGTTAGATTTCAAGCAGCTCCTGGCCCGCTATAAAGGTAACGCGTTTCCTGGGGGAATATTACAGTTACGCCAAAGATAACCAGTGATCCAGAAGAAGAAAAATGTGGCTCTTGTCTCATAGCTGCATTGTCTTAATTCATCAGAACAACCTTTGACTTAGAAGAATAGCAGTTCCAAAAAAAAAAAAAGAAAAATAGCAGTTCCAACACATATTAGATGTAATTGTTACTGTATTTACCAGCAGGTTTTTTTATTATAAAAGATGTGTTTATTATAGAAAAATTGGGAAATAGTGAAATATAAATATATTCTTCACTATTTTATAACTTTTTATTTTGATATGATTGCAAATTCAAAATTAAAGTTGGCAGGACTACACAATGAACTCTCCTATATCCTTTACCCCAATTCACCAATTATTAATATTTTGCTTCATTTGCTTTATCATTATTTGCTCTGCGCATGTATATATTTCTTTCCTGAACCTTTTGAGTAAGTTGCAGATATGATGTCCCCTAATCCCTAATATTTTAATATGCATTTCTTAAAAGCATAAATACCAGATATGATCAAAATGAAGATATTTAACTGATATAATACTATTATTTGATCCATAGTCAATATTCTAACTTTGCCAATTATCTAAAAGTTTTTTTTTAAAGGCTAACCGCACCTTTTTTTTTTTTTTTTTAAGATTTTATTTATTTATTTGACAGAGAGAGAGACAGCGAGAGAGGGAACACAAGCAGGGGGAGTGGGAGAGGGAGAAGCAGGCTTCCCACTGAGCAGGGAGCCCGATGTGGGGCTCAATCCCAGGACCCCGGGATCATGACCCGAGCTGAAAGCAGATGCTTAATGACTGAGCCACCCCTAAAAAATGTTCTTTATTGCTATTTTTTTCTAGTCCAGAATCCAACCCACAATTACATATTTCATTTGTTGTTATGTGTCTTTAGTTTCTTTTGATCTGGAAAAACTCCCCAGCCTGTATTTTTCTTTTAAGATCTTGACATTTTTTGGAGTTTGGGCCAGTTATTTCGTAGAATGTCCCTCCATTTGGTTTTGTCTAATGTTTCCCCAGGATTAAATTTAGGTTAGAAAACCTAACCTTTTGGGTTTCATTTTTGGTTAGAAAACCACAGAAACAATTTTGAGTCCTTCTCGGTACATCATATCAGGAGGCATAGGATTTTGGTTTGTCCCATTATCGGCGGTGTTATTTTTGATCACTTGGTTAGGGTGATGTTGGCTAGGTGTCTCCCCTGTGTGGTTACTGTTTGTTCCCTTTATAGTTAATAAGTCATTTGTGGAGAGAGATTTGAGACTATTTAAATATCCTATAATATCCTTAAAATTTCATCCACTAGTTTTAGCATTACTCATGGGCTTTTCAAATAACATCTTTTGTGGGGCCACCCTGTGCTGAGCATTTTTATATATGTTGTTAGGTGCTCCCTCCTTCTGTGCCAGACCTCACCTAACTGTTCTTTGTTCCTAGATAGTCTTCTATACAGATAAGCTGGGCTGAACACATAGAAACCCCAAGGGTACTACTACTGCTTTCTTCCCTAAAGCCTACACCAGAGACAGGTCTCAGCTGCCCTTCCTGCTCTCTTCCCTGGACTGCCACCCCAACCCTCTTAGCCTTTTGGGGGGGAAAAAAAGGTATTTACCTTCCAAGGAGTAAGAGCCTCTAATTCCCTATTACTGCTTCTATGGGAGAAGAGACAAGTGAGTTTTCCTTTTTCTCCTTCCTCTGAAGACTATATTCCCAGTCCTGCATGGGCAATGGTAATCATCCAGGAATTAAGGTATTAGCTAGCATTCTGCTGTTTAGGAAGGTATGCATAGCTCCTAAACATTATTTCACTTAACCTTCCCAACATCCTGAGAAGTAAGGTTGAGAGCATAGACTTGCATCAGATAGACTTGGGCTCAACTTGCTCACTCACTCAGAGTTCCTTGAGCAAGTTCCTTGTCCTCTCCATACCTGTTTCCTTAGCAATAAAATGGAGTTGTTTAGGGAATTAAATGAGATAATACAAATCCATAGCACAGTGCCCAGCTAGTGAGTGCACATTTGTAATTCTAATTAAACTATGTCTGAGTCAAAAATTTGTGTTCTTTCTGTACATCACACCAGCTGATAATTCCCATTTCCTTATTCTATTAAATTATTTCAGAAATTTCAGAATTTTCTTTAAAAATTATGACTGGGGGTGCCAGTCGTTAAGCGTCTGCCTTCAGTTCAGGTCATGATCCCAGGGTCCTGGGATCGAGTCCCGCATCGGGTTCCCCGCTCCGCGGGGAGCCTGCTTCTCCCTCTCCCGCTCCCCCTGCTTGTGTTCCCTCTCTCGCTGTCTCTCTCTCTGTCAAATAAATAAATAAAATCTTTAAAAAAAAAAAAACAAGCAGGGGGAGCGGGAGAGGGAGAAGCAGGCTCCCCGCGGAGCGGGGAACCCGATGCGGGACTCGATCCCAGGACCCTGGGATCATGACCTGGGATCATGACCTGAGCTGAAGGCAGACGCTTAACCAACTGAGCCACCCAGGCGCCCATAAATAAAATCTTTTTAAAAAATAAAAATTATGACTGGATGGGGCGCCTGGGTGGCTCAGTAGGCTAAGCATCCAACCCTTGATTTTAGTTCAAGTCATGATCTCAGGGTTGTGAGATTAAGTTTCATGCCGGGCTCTACACTCAGCGTGGAGGCTGCTTGAGATTCTCCTTCCCTCTCCCTCTGTCCCTCCCCCCACTTGTCTGTCTATCTCTCTCTAAAAGAAATAAATAAAATTCTTTTTTAAAATAAATAAAAATTATGCCTGGATCGAAGCCAGGCCTTTCTAATTTCAAGCACACAGGTTACCAAAGTTCAGAAAGCACTGCTGAGAGCTTCTTTCTGAAGGAGGAGGATGGAAGATTTGTGGTCAAGAAACCCGGCTCTGCCAGTAGCTTCTGTCTGGTAGTGGGCAGACCGCTCCCTGTACCAAGAAAAGACCGGGGCTGGTTGATCTCAAGGCTCTCTCCTCAGAAAATTAAATAATGATTCTGAGTTCAATTTTTAAAACTTTTTCTAGTTAAATAATAATAATAGTCAGTCCTTTTAAGTGTATAATTGATTAGCAAAAACTGCCAAACTATTAAAAGTTTTTTAAAAATTACATTCACTCTCTTTTTTAGTGTTAGCTAATCCTTCTCCTTTTTGAAAAGTCTGCTTTTTGGAATCTTGACATATAAAAATGATTCCTTCTCTGCCCTCCACACCCAACCACATCCTTTCTTTTCATGTTTGACCAACATAGGGTTCACACTGCCAGAATAACATTGTTTAAAACTGCTTTTGCCCCTCTTCAAACTTCAGCATAATATAGGAAGCTTCCCTTCCTTCATATCACCTGCAGCTATTTTGTTCCAGTTAGACTATTCAGGGCAATGGGCTATTAAGAGGACCTGAGAAGAAAGGCCAGCAGTCTTTGGAGAGTTAGTCTCCCCAAGAATATGCTATTTGTTTTGAAAAGAGCTCAGGCACACAGTATAGCCCAAAGAACTGTATCTGTCACTAGGCCTCAGATAAATTAAAAAGGGACTGGAGACCTTAACCTGAAAGTCTGTGACTAGAATTCAGGGGTTGTTGGTGAAGCCATTAAAATCACATGTATTTTTCAGGGAAGATCCAGAACTTTTGTCCTTTTCTCAAAGGAACCTAAAGGTTAAGAGTCACTGTCGTGAAGTTGTTGGTAAAAGCTGTGGTCTCTGTTGATTGCCCTGGATCACTGTTACCTGGATTTCCATCTGATCTGACTCATGTCTTGATTGAATCTGGAAGGGCTTTCTAAAGTGTATTTGACTTTGAATTTTGTTTCTAGGATCTAAATTGTCAATAAATGTATGATGGAGAAAAGAGGGGAGGGAAGAAAGAAAAACGTGGCCGATCTGGGCCTTTCCAGCAGGGTCAGGTGCCTGTTCTTTGAGTCATTGTTCAACAAAAAGTGCTCCTCGTAAACATGTATTTTCTGAGAGACTGAAAGAAAACGATTCATTTCGGTGCATAAATGTGAACATCTGTGTCATTAAATCAAGAGACTCACCTAGTTCACAGGCATCATTGTCTTTAATAAGGTATAATTATCCTTCTGATTTTTACCTTTCTTTCAGGGGTTAGCAAATCGGTCATCAAAACAATGTCCATCATGGATTTCGAAAAGGTGAATCTTCAATTAATAGAGGCCTTGTTAGAGTGGATTGTAGATGGAAAGCACTCCTACCCTCCAGGTAACCGCTTCTTGTCTTTGTAAGACGGCAAAAGGGAAGATAGCTCACTCACTGAGATAGAGTGGGTGCTGTGGGGGCAGCCTCCCTTCCTGGAACCCTTGCCCCCACCCTTACTTTTTCACCCCCAATTGCATATAAGGTTGCTTATTAGGCTTTTCAGGGGGAAATTTTACCTTTTACTTTTTGAGGTTCACCAACTCCTTTTTGTTCAGCATTCTTTTGTTTCCCACTGAGCAAAAAGATGTTAACAATACAAAGTCCAAAAGGACGAAAGCTGAAAAGAAGGCCTGGGTGATCCACATGGTAAACACTCAGCCCCGGGCTAAATGGGAGTCTGGTAATGAGTGTTTGAATCCCATGAAGACTGTGTACATGGAGGTCACAGGGCAGGAGGGTTAAAAGAACCGGCTTTGGAGTCTGATAAACTTCTAGCTCTGCTACTCAGGAACGTGTAGTCTTGGATAAAGTCCTTATCCTTGCTCTGCCTCAGTTTCCTTGTTTGTGAAATGAAAACAATCATAATTCCTCTGACATATAGCTATTTTTAGGATTAAAAGAAACCATATGTGGGGGCGCCTGGCTGGCTCAGTCAGTGGAACATGTGACTCTTGATCTCAGGATTATGAGTTTGAGCCCCGTGTTGGGTGTAGAGATTACTTAAAAATAAAATCTTTTTTAAAAAGTAAGAAAGACATCAAAAACTAATGATGTATGGTGATTAACATAACACAATAATTAAAAAAATTAAAAAGTGAGAAAGAAACCATATGTAAAGCACTTAGCATCGTGCCTGGCATATAGTATCTACTACCCCTAATAATGGTAACATTATAATTATAACATACATCGTCGTTATTATTGCTGAGATCACTGTTACTCCTGCTACTGCTTTCCCCTTGCTGGCTGTCTTCCCATCCCAGTGGCCTTCTTAACCTCACTTGCAGTCCTTTATCCCCCAAGTCTTCTCATTACTGAATCCTTCCCATCACTCAGGTTTCTGTCAAATATCTTCTCTTCAGAGAAGTCTTCTCTGACCACCATATCTGTTTTCTCACCACCTACCCCTTACTCTAGCATGATATCCAAAAGTGATTTTCATTTTCAATATAGCACTTCACAATATCCAGAATTATAGTTCTGCTTACTGACAGTTTCCTTCAATAGAATGCAAACTCCTTAAGAATAAGGATTTATCGTGCACCAGTGTGTTCCTCAGACCCTAGGACGGCACCTGGAATATTTAGGTACAGAGTAAATATTTGTCACATGAATAGATGCAGCCATTGTTGGGTGATCGTAAGTTGATCAAACAGTTCCATGATGTGCTCACTACGCAGTGCTTTAGAGAAGTGGGAATGGCTGCCCTCCTCTGCCTAGACTGTAATCATTACGTGGTATTTTCTATAGAGCCGTATGAGCCACATGAAAGGATTGAAGTTTGTTATGTCTTGGCAAGTAGTCAGTGTCAGCTAATGCATTATCACTGGGCTGAATGTCTTGTTTCATCCCAAAGGAAAAGATGATTGTTGAAAAACATCAGGCATGGCAGACAAAAAGAACTGTTAGAAAATTACGTGAATTCAGAGGGGGACCACCCTGCCCTAGGTGTGCAGGGTGGGTCGTGTGGGGTGGGTGTCTTTATGATAATCACCTGTGACCAACAAAAGACTAACCAGCCCCTAAAAAGGAAGTAGGCCATTGAAGGTGTTATCAATAGAGATGTTAAAAGAATTTAAGTTCCCTGGTTAGCTTTCTATAAAAGACCAACCCTAAAGGCCCTCCTTGGCAACCCTGTCGCAACCCTGTCGGGGTGCTCGCACTCTTGAGAGCTTTTTCTGTATCTTCACTTAATAAACTTCTATTCCTTTACTCACCAAAAAAAAAAGAAAGAAAAGAAAAAAAAATAAATAAACCTGAAAAAAAAAAAAGTATTCCCAATACAGCTGGCCAAGCTGTGAGGGCAGAGCAGATCAGAAGGCACATAAAAATATAGACAGGGGTGCCTGGGTGGCTCAGTCATTGAGCGTCTGCCTTCGGCTCAGGTCATGATCCCAGTGTCCTGGGATCGAGCCCCGCATCGGGCTCCCTGCTCAGCGGGAAGCCTGCTTCTCCCTCTCCCACTCCCCCTGCTTGTGTTCCCTCTCTCGCTGTGTCTCTGTCAAATAAATAAATAAAATCTTAAAAAAAAAAAAAAATAGACAAAAAAATTTTTCCCATCCATATGTTTATTTTATCACTCTTTTTTTTTTTTAAACATTTGATTTATTTATGGGGTGCCTGGGTGGCACAGTCAGTTAAACAACTGACTCTTCGTTTCAGCTCAGGTTGTGATGTCAGGGTTGTGACATGGAGCATCTCCAATAAATAAATAAAATCTTAAAAAAAAAAGATTGATTTATTTATTTTAAAGCGAGAGCATGGGGAAGATGGGGGTTGGACAGAGGGAGAGCGAGAGAGAAACTTAAGCAGACTCCCCGCTGAGCAAGGAGCCTATCGAGGGGCTCGAGATCACAGCCCTGAGATCATGACCTGAGCCAATTTTACCACTCTTAAATTTTGTGGTATTTTAGTAGAGAGGAAGACGGAACGTGTAACGGAAAGAGCATGGATTTGGTGCCCAAAACCTTAGGTTTGTGTCAGGCCCCACTCTTAAGTAACATTGTCGCCTGGCCAAGTTACTGAGTCACTTTGAAAGTACTAATAACCTTAATGGGTGGTTGTGAGGATCAAATGAGGTAGTGTATGTAAACATGCTTTGTATACTATGAAGTGTTGAAACTAACCCTCAAAGATATCTTTTGCCTCCTTCAGGGTTCCATTTTTGTAATGATTTCGTTTCCTTATTTACTTCGTTGGGAGAATAACTGTGATAAATAATAGGTCCTGTGTTCCTTGTGGGCAGGTCTTCGGTTTATAGTTCACTGTACCTAGCACAGAGCTGACATAGGCACCCAATAAATATTTGTGGGATTAAAGGAGGGGCTAGTGAGGATGGTGTCAATTTCCTCTCGGGATAAAGCACAAAAGAAGGTGACTTGCTGAGTGCCCACTCTTGGCACGGAAATATTCTATTTTTAGTTATCACTGTTTATTTTCTTTAATGTAAAATTTAAAAGCCCATAAACTGTTAATATGTCATGGTTAGTTAATGTGCTGCCTCTCCACCATATATCTGAATTTAGATTTTCAGGTTGGCCAGCCAATTGTATTTTCTTTTTCTCATTTCTAGTGAAATGTTTATGGATTTTATTTACTAATAGAAGAGTCTTCCTGTCTTACAAGATTAGCAGGATAACTCTTCCTAGAAAAACAATGTCAGTGCCTGGTGCACAGTAGAAGTATGTTTAAAGAGCTTCGCTAATGATTCTTGTATAACTTAAGGTATTATATTTTTCTACACTTCAGTTTTTCCTCTTGTGGAAAGATAATAATACCCCATTCATTTTGGAGTTAAGTCAGAAAATGTATGAAAAACACTGCTATCCATTTAAGTCCCTGGGGACTTTACAAAAAAAATTGGCAGTGGAAAAAAATCTCAGATTATTACATTTTTAAAAATTTAAAATAGCTCTATAGTCCATATTAGTTTTTCCTTTTTTGCATCTATCACATTGATTCTTTTTATGTACCCAGGTGCTATACTTGTATTTTTACCGGGACTAGCAGAAATCAAAATGCTATATGAACAGCTACAATCTAATTCTCTTTTCAACAATAGACGCAGTCATCGGTAAGTTAATTGCTTTCCATATCCTTAACCATCTGTTGCAGGTACATGCAAAGATGACTAACCAGAACGGTCTCTGACAGCCATCACCCTCTTTAGACCCTGGTGTCACTCCTTAAGAATATGTTTGTGTATGCCAGCTGGAAGGAGACAGACCTATCTGTTCCAGGGAAGCAATCATTCCCATTCCATTAAATAAAAATATTTCTCTTCACTTAGCGTAGTGACTCAGCAAAATTGCCTGTGATTTCAGTTGCCAAGTAGGAGGCATGGGAGAAGCCAGTGTGAGTAACAGCAAAGAAATGCTGCCATTTGAGAAAAAAGTAATTTGTAACAGTTTCTTTTCCAGTAGCAAGACGTGTGTTTTCATACCCAAGGGGACAAGTCCTGAAGGGTTAAACGCTCCCTAGAAATACAAGAACGAAGCCTCTGAGCATACATACTGCCTCTTATTCTCTGCATTTAAAGACAGAGGAAAAACGATTCTCTACTGTTAGTGTGCTCTAGGCTTGTTACTTGTAGAATAGCAACTATAGTCCTTCTTGATCATTTACTACTGAGTTACCCTCCAGTTTTTCCCAAGGTGGTGCGAGGTTTCTAGTTCATAGAACTGAGTTCATGTTTTGTAAGGCTTGGAAGGAACCTTCCCATTTAGAAGGAAGCTGCTGATACTTGGGAGTCCTGTTGCTAGTTGTAATAGAAATTCACCCACCATGAATCCAATTTCAGCCTTTAGTGCTAGGACACTAAATGTGCTTCTCTTTCCTTTCAGATGTGTGGTTCACCCACTTCATTCATCTTTATCCAGTGAAGAGCAGCAGGCAGTGTTTGTAAAACCCCCTGTGGGTGTAACAAAGATTATAATTTCCACCAACATTGCTGAGACATCCATAACCATCGACGATGTTGTCTATGTCATTGACTCTGGGAAAATGAAAGAGAAGAGGTATTCTCCTTTGGCCCAGTAGAGGAGGGTTAAAGATGCCTCAGTGAGAGTGACATGTCAGTGACGATGCTCTTGAGCGACACGGATTGCCGTTTGAAAAATGTTTTAGGAAAACTACGTGGGTATATATGAGTGATTCTGTACCGGGGCCCTAGTCTCAAAGTCAAACGGTGGTGGAAAGTTTTCAGGTTTTACCTTGGAAGTAATTATTTTTCCTCTCTTTTTTCCATACGCTTTACATGTGCTTGAGTGAAAAAGAGGTGACTTAGGTGGTGATGGATGTGTTCATTAGTTTGATTGCGGTAACCATTTCACAGTGTACGCATTTATCAAAACATCACATTGTACACCTTAAGTATATACAGTTTTTATTTGTCAAATAAATACACAAAAAAGAAAAGGTCGCATAAAGGAACTGCATGTAGTTCACCAACATTTGATGCCACTGAAATTCGCGCTGTGTGCTCCCACCACAGACTGAACTACCCGAGAACACACCGGACACTTGTCCTTTGGTGGAAGTAAGGTAGTGCATCTGCTCTGTCCATGCTAAGCAGGGTCTTAGCCATGTTTTTATAGAATAATTCCTTTTTCCATTTTCTCTTTCTCTGTAGATATGACGCCAGCAAAGGGATGGAGAGCCTAGAGGATACTTTTGTCTCTCAAGCCAATGCTCTGCAGAGAAAGGGTCGAGCGGGCCGGGTTGCCTCTGGGGTCTGCTTCCACTTATTCACCAGCCATCACTTCAATCACCAGCTGTTAAAGCAGCAGCTGCCAGAGATCCAAAGAGTGCCGTTGGAACAGCTGTGTCTGAGGTACACCTTGATCTTTGTGTTCTGGCTTCCAGAAGGTCTACATATTTCTCACCCGAAGTCCCGTGGGTTCTTCTTCTTAGTAGGAGACATTTTGCTGAGAGTGGACATGGATGAATTCACTCATTTGCAAAGGAAGAGCTCTTCAGTGTTGCCTTTACCATTCGTGTTAACTTTCTGCACATGAAGATCTCTTACATTGCAAAGAATGGCCCTAAAATAGAGCTTAAGAATACATTTGTAACTCAGGAAAGTAATCTAACTTATCAAGAAATTTCTGCTAGGGGCAACACCAATATTAAATCATAAAAGGCAAAAAGATCTACAGCCTCATTATCAGAGCAAAGTGAACAAAAACAACTTGAGAAACATCCTTATTTACCTGATGAACAAAAAACAAATTTCATAAAATAGGATTTAATGAATGAATGATTGAACTCAGTGTTATTGAAGCTGGGCAACCTTTGGTTCAACCTTTCTGAAAATGTGGTTGGCATTAGTAAGAACCCATGCCCTCTGACCCAGTCACTGCTTTGAGGGAGTATGCCCATAAAATAATAACCCAAAGCAAAAAGTTACTAGTACAAAGAAGTTATAGCTCTCCTTTTATCCAGCAGGTATATTTTGAAAGCCTTCCATTTGCCAGGGGTTGAGCTAAGCACTAGAGATAGGATACAAGACTCAGGCCCTGCTTTTAAGTGTCCACAGTCAGGTCTTAAGAAGTTGGGCAAGCAGTTGCTTTGAACTAAGGTAGTAACAGTGCAAATGAAGAGGAGCGGAGAGATCTGAGAAAGTTTTGGAAGTTGAATGACCCATGAGGGAGGATGAGAGAGGGGAAAATGTAATTACATGGTACATATGATTTAAAAACAGTTCAGGGGCACCTGGGTGGCTTAGTCGGTTGGGTGTCCAACTCTTGATTTCGGCTCAGGTCGTGATCTCGGGGTGGGAAGATCGAGCCCCACTTCAGGCTCTATGCTCAGCTCAGAGTCTGCTTAAGATTCTCTCTCTCCCTCTTCTGCTGCCCCTCCCCCCCCAAAAGAAAAAGAAAATGTATTTAGCATTGTCTGGCTTATGAAAGCGTATGTCTGGGAAATTACCAACTATTTTCATTCAAGAAAGAAGCTTACTCCTCTGTGTCATCTCTCCAGAAATAAAATGGACAAATTACTATTTTGTTTTCTTTTTGTAGAATTAAAATTTTAGAGATGTTTAGCACTCACAATCTCCAGTCTGTGTTCTCTCGGCTCATTGAGCCGCCACACACTGACTCTCTCCGTGCCTCAAAAATACGATTACGAGACTTAGGAGCGTTAACTCCAGATGAAAAGCTGACCCCCCTAGGGTATCACTTGGCCTCTCTGCCCGTGGATGTGAGAATCGGCAAACTGATGCTGTTTGGGTCTATCTTCCGCTGTCTGGATCCTGCCCTCACCATTGCTGCCAGTTTGGCTTTTAAGTCTCCTTTTGTAAGTAAACAACATTCATCTAAACTGGAGTCCAGAGGTCTCTAAGGGGACCATGGGGGGATTCAGGGTTATGTGAGCCTGCCCACACATTTTCTTATGAGGATGATAGATGGGAAGTCTTAGGTCGCAATGTCTGTAACTTTTGTCTGATCCTCAAAGAAATCCATGCCTCAAATAAAGATTAAGAACTGAAGATCCAACTTATTGAAATAACCTAAATGTGCTTTTTATTGTATCTGCTCCACCATGCTCATTAAAGAAAAATCAGAAAATGCAAGCAAGCAAAAGTGCCCCAGCATGATTTTAACAGGCAGTAAATACATTGGACCACTTTTTTTTTTAACAGCTTTATTGAAATATAATTCGCCCATTTAAATTGTACATTCAGTAATTTTATGTGGTCCTCATCATGGTCAGTTTTAGAACATTTCTGTGACCTCATTAAGAAACCCCTTAGCAGTCACTCCCCTTCCCCCCTCTAATTCCTCATCCACCACAGCCCTAGGCAACCACCAGTTTGCTTTCTGTCTTCATAGATTTACCTCTTCCAGACATTTCACATTAATGAAATAATAAAATATATGGTCTTTTGTGACTGGCTTCTTCACTTAGCATAATGCTTTTAAGGTGCATTTATGTTACAGCGTAGTAACATAGGTAACATATGCACTATAACATAGTAACAGATCAGTACTCTGTTCCTTTGCCAAATAATATCCTTTGTATGGACGTACCACATGTTGTTTATCCGTTCAGCACTGGATGGACATTTGGGATTGTTTCCACCTTTGCTGGTAAACATTCATGTACAAGTTTTTATGTAGACATATGTTTTCATTTGTCTTGGGTATATACCTAGGAGTAAAATTACTGGATCAAATAGTAACTCTATATTTCACTTTCTGAGGAACTTCCAGTTCTTTTTCCAGAGTAGCTGCACATTACATTCTGCCAACCTTTTATCAGGGTTGCAATTTCTCCCCATCTTCACCAACACTTGTTATTATCTGACTTTTTTATTATAATCATACTAGGGGGTATGAATTTGTAGTTTCGACTTGTGTTTCCCTGATGGCTAATGATAGTAAACTTTTCATTTGCTTATTTCCCATTTGTATATCTTCTTTCAAGAAATGTCTATTCAGATCCTTTGCCCATTTCTTAATTGGGTTATTCATCTTTTAATATTGATTTGTAAGAGTTGTTTATATATTCTGGATACAGGTCCCTTATGAGAAATATGATCTGCAAATATTTTCTCCCATTCTCTGGGTTACCTTTTTCACTTTCTTGATATGTCCTTTGAAACACTAAAGGTATTAATTTTGATTAAGTCCAGTTTATCCACTTTTTTGTTCCTTGAGCTTCCATTGTCATAGTTAAGAATCTTAAAAACAAAAAAAATAGACCCCATTGCCAAAATGGCTGAAGGGGAGTGGAAGATACAGGCTTCCAGTTATAGAATGAATAACTCATGGGAATAAAAGGCACAGCATAAAGAATATAGTCAGCAATATTGTAATAGTGTTGTATGATGACAGATGGTAGCTACCCTTGTGAGCATAGCATAATGTATCAATTACTGACTTGTCAAATCGCTATGTTGTATACCTGAAACTAATGTAACATTGTGTGTCAACTACACTAAAAAAAAATTGATTGCCAGATCCAAAGTTAATGAAGCTTTATTCCATTTATCTCTCTGTGTTTTCTAAGTTTTATAGTTTTATTTTTATTTATTTTTTAGTGGGGGTGGGGCAAGGGGCAGAGGGAGAGGGAGTATCTTAAGCAGACTCCACGCTCAGCATGGAGCCCGACGTGGGGCTCGATCTCACAACCCTGAGATCATGACCTGAGCCGAAATCAAGAGTTGGACACCCAACCACCTGAGCCACCCAGGCGCCCCATAAGAGTTTTATAGTTTTTGCTCTTACATTAAGGTCTTTGGTCTATTTTGAGTTAATTTTTGTAAATGGCATGAGGTAAGAGTCCAACTTCATTCTTTTGCATATGACTATTCAGTTGTCCCAGTACTATTTGTTGAAAAGACTGTTCTTTCACCATTGAATGGTCTTGGCATTCTTGTCAAAAATCATGGGGCCCCTGGCTGGCTCAGTCCGTGGAGCATGCAACTCTTGATCTCAGGTTTGTAAGTTCGAACCCCGCATTGGGTATAGAGATTATTTAAAAATAAAATCTTGAAGGAAAAAAAAGAAAGAAACCTCAGGTAAAATGTGCCCTTCAAACCTGGTTTTCCTCATTTAGGTATCTCCCTGGGATAAAAAAGAGGAAGCTAACCAGAAAAAGCTAGAATTTGCATTTGCAAACAGCGACTATCTGGCTCTTCTACGAGCATATAAGGTAAGTATATAACTTAATAGCTGAGGTATGTGTATATATATATTTTTAAAGATTTTTATTTATTCATTTGACAGAGACACAGCGAGAGAGGGAACACAAGCAGGGGGAGGGGGAGAGGGAGAAGCAAGCCTCCCACAGAGCAGGGAGCCTGATGCGGGGCTCGATCCCAGGACCCTGGGATCATGACCTGAGCCGAAGGCAGACGCTTAACGACTGAGCCACCCAGGCGCCCCAATAGCTGAGGTATATTAACAGAATTGGCACTAAAGAGTAAGTTCACTTTTATTTTCTCCAAAATTTAGGGATGGCAGCTAAGTACGAAAGAAGGAATGCGTGCAAGTTACAATTACTGCAGACAGAACTTCTTGTCTGGAAGAGTTCTTCAGGTGAGTTGTTTCTGTGGCAGTTTGTTTTCATTCATTTTTCTATTGTAGCCATACACCAGAGGGTGTTGCAACTTTGTTTCCCTTGTCCTGCCTCACATTAAAAGTATCATTTCTGAAATATGCTTGGCTTTATCCGCCATGTAAAACACACTCCTGTTTTACATCCTCTGACATGAGGCCTTCTGCACTGAACCTTTCAACTGACCCACTTTTCCTCTTTTCAATGAATCTGTGTTTACTTATGTGGAGGATAGGAGAATATGACACTGTGAAGATTACTGCTTACCGGAAGTCAGTTTTTTCAGGAATTCTACCAGGTGTTCTTAACCTGGATCTATAAACCCCTGAAATTATATGCAAAATCAGATGCTTATACATATGTGCTTTATTGTGGAGAGAGGGACCATAGCTTTCATCATATTCTCAGAGCAGTCTGTGACCATCACCAAGCTCCTTACCTTCTCCGCAAAAGGAAAGAATGAGTCCTGAACCAGGTTTTGTTCATTTTCCTTATGTCCATCAGAGGCTGAGATGTCAATAATGAGTGTACAAGAAAGAGAAGCTTTCTCTTCTTCTGGGCCATAGTGGAGAGGGCTCTGTCCTCCGTTGGGACAGTGTTGTTGGCACTTTTCCACAGCGGTAGGAGAAGCCAGAGTAATGGCGGTACACAGCTTTGTAAAGCATCTGTTTTACTCAGAGATTTTCAGGCTGGGGAAAGGGAAGGACTTTGCTTTCCTATTAAAAGATGTCCTAGAATAGAACACAAAATTAATGTCCTTAGTGCTTACCCCTACCTGACATTTATTTATCTCTCTATCCCACAAGCTCCCTCAGAGCCGAGACCTTACCGTGTTGTTCGACAGTGTATCCCCAGTGCCAGGAATGGTGCTTAGCACCAGCTGACGCTCAGTAAAGATTCACTGAAGAAACGCAGAAGTGAATGAATTGGTTATTTAAAATGAGGGGCGCCTGGGTGGCTCAGTCGGTTAAGCGTCTGCCTTCGGCTCAGGTCATGATCCCGGGGTCCTGGGATCGAGCCCCGTGTCGGGCTCCCTGCTCAGTGGGAAGCCTGCTTCTCCCTCCCCCACTCCCCCTGCTTGTGTTCCCTCTCTCGCTGTGTCTCTCTCTGTCAAATAAATAAGTAAAATCTTTTAAAAATAAATAAATAAAAAATAAAACGAAGTAAGAGACTTCAGAAGCATCCCACTATTGGTCTTCATTCTCCTCTGCTGTGAGGTGTACTACAGTGAGGCATCGTGAGAGGACACGGGCTCAAGCTTTGTTCTAAGGACACCAAAAGCAGTAATTTTCAGTCTTGGCTGCACATTAGATTCACCTGAGGAGGCTTAACAAAATAAATAAATAAAAATGCCCAGGTTCCACCCCAGGCCAGTTACATCTGGATCTCTGTGGATGGGGCCTGAGCATCTGTTTATTGTTGTTGGGTGCACCAAGGGATTCTAGTATGCAGCCAGGGTTGAGAGCCACTGGTCTGAAGGGTATGTTATATGGAAGGTGCAGTTGTAGATATGTCCTCAAGTCATTAATATTTAAGTGTAAAGTGATATTTCTTTCAGATTACATTTCTTATGAATGTTCAGGATGTATGTACATTTTGCCATGATCTGGAAGGTCCATCACAGTTTCCTCTTCTCACTAAAGATATTAAGATTTATTAAGATAGCAGTTAAAACCTTGTCATGATAGAGAAGTCCTAGCTATATTTTGCCAGGTTATCCATGTGTACATGAGACATTTCAAGAAAATACTTAAGCTGTCATCAAGAGACAGGGTAGTATTGCTTGGCTCTCAGTTCTTTGACTGTCCTTACCTCCTTCCCTATCCTTCTGATCCTTCCCTATCATCTGATACACAGCCTCTGTTTGAACAGTGGCCGGAAGAGAAGGAGGTCTGTTCTTTTCTTTCTCACACTTGTGCTCAGCTACACAAAGGGGTGTCTAAATCTAAACCACTTAATAATGTCCTTATTCCTAGGAAAAGATGTGAGCCAGAGAGATCACAAGGTAATAGAAAGTAAGTTCTGAGCTGGGTGTTCTGCATCCATTGAGAGAGAACACTAACCACTCTGGGCTCCAGTGAGGAACTAAGGGGACCAGAGCAGAAATGTAAGTAGGGAAAACTGGACAATGTCACAGCACCTTGAATGGGGGTCCAAAGTAAACTGTATTTTTTTGCTGTCCTAAGAATTGCCGGTAAAGTCAGACCTACCCCAATTCCGATGAATGTGTTTTTAAAAACTGTGATTTAGAGTTAAATAAATGATCCTTAGGTTTCCTGAAATTGGTTGAATTTCTGTGTAACTCTTTCACTCTGTCTGCTGGTTTGTCAAAGTAAAAAGTGCCCTTCTGGCAATGACCAGACAAGACAATCTTCATACCTGTCTGATGACCCATAGGAGCCTCACTGCTATCCACTGAAGTAAAGACTCTGCACTTACCTTTGACTTGCTGCTGCCTAGCCTTAAAGAATTTTTTCCATTTCTTTCAGGAAATGGCCATCCTCAAACGACAATTCACTGAACTGTTATCAGATATAGGCTTTGTAAAGGAGGGACTCAGAGCAAGGGAAATTGAGAAAAGGGCCCAAGGAGGAGATGGTATCTTGGACGCCACAGGAGAAGAGGTAAAGAATGTGTAGTTAGTTCTTTTATTTCTCTTTAATTAGCACATGGATAGTATATTAACTCACTTAATTTTTTACTTAAGCCCGCTGAGCAGTGGGCTTAGTGAAATTCTTCTTTTTTTTTTTTTTTTTTTGAAATTCTTGATTTTCTTTCCACAAAGAAGTGTCAGGAAACACTCCTAAAAACAGAAGGGTTTTTCTGTTAATTGTTGCTACTATTGTTTTTTTTTTTAAATTTCACACCAGTTCTTTTTTTTTTAAGATTCATTTATTTATTTGAGAGAGAGAGAGCACAAGCGGGAGGGGCAGAGGGAGAGGGAGAGAGCAACTCAGGGCTTGATCTCACCACCCTGAGATCACGACCTGAGCTGAAACCAAGAGTTGGATGCTTAACCAACTGCTCCACCCAGGCGTCCCCAAACCGGTTCTTGATAAGCTTATGAGAGGTGAAATAGGTGTTTCAGTAATGTCTTCTTAAATCACACCAGCCTTTTTCCAACCAAGAATAGTTTTTTTTTATATGACCAAGGAAGAACACTTCTTCAAGATGAACCTGATGCTTCCCTGTTCTCAGTGCAGTTAGTACTTTCTGCAGATCATGAGCATCTCATGAGCAAGAATCTCTGTCCACTGATCCTTAGGAACACTGGCTTTGTAACTGCTTTGCAGAGACCCAGAGTTACTGTGGGCTTCTTGGAGTGGGTCCTATGTGAATATGGTCTGGTAGACTTATTTTTTACCTAGAAAGAAAGAATTTTTCTAGCAAAAAGATAGAAATTAGGTATTTTAATTTAGTTTTGTTTTGTTTTAAGATAGAAATCCAATGAAATATAATGGTAAATTCCAGGGTACAAACAGAAGTAGCCACATTACTTATAAGATCAATGCTGTCTTTCTCTCATAGGCAAACTCAAATGCTGAGAACCCCAAGCTGATATCAGCAATGCTGTGTGCTGCTCTTTATCCAAATGTAGTGCAGGTAACAAAACGTTTTTCCTAGTTCCTCCCACTTCTTGTTTGATCTGTAGCCAAGGGACGTAAGTTAAGACATACACATTAATCATCTTAAAGAGATACATACATGTAAACTTTGTATACATTTCCAGTCCTTCAGTTCCCCAAATCTCTTCAGATAACATTGTTCAAGAACACATTGATTGTATAAAATGAGGTGCCTTTTTAATCCCTCTGACATGACATTCTAGAAATTTAAATGGACATAGATGTCCCCCTGCCAGCTAACGTGTGCATAACCAGCCTTCTATATTAGATAGACGCTTGATTCTACTACAGTTTCCGTTATGGCCTCTGCTCTGGACTACAGTTAGGTAAGAACGAAATCAAACAAGCCAGGGCTCTGCCATGGGACCAGCTGTGGCCAGCCTTCTGGAAAACCCTCCTATATGTGCTGTTGGACTTTTACCTAAGTTTTAATTATCCAGTCCTTGTCAAACTTAGAAAGACTATGAATTTGTCAGAGTGCTAAATTGTTTCTCATTTAACATTTTGTTAAATGCTCGGTTGACATCTGCGGATGAATTTCTGGCACATTTTCTGCTCAGTACTTGCATGCTTTTCAAACCATTTGAAATTTATTTTAAAAAATCATTTGAAGCAAAAGTATGGAGACAGGAAAAAAAAAACAAAAAACCCCCAAGGATTGGGAGGAACAAATAGGCAGAGCATAGACAATTTTTAGAGCAATGAAAAGACTCTGCATGATACCATCGTAATACGTGCATGTCATTATACATTTGCACAAACCCATAGAATACACACCACCAAGAGTGAACCCTAAGGTAAACTATGGGCTTTGGGCGATTACAGCAATGTGACACAAGTTTTTAAAAATTGTAATACTGGTGCTGTCAGAAGCCGCCACAATGAACCCCCTCACTCTTAGTGGGAGTATAAATTGATACACCCTTTCTAGATTTCATTTCTGAGGACTTATTGATTAGGAAATAATTGCATGTATGCATAAAAATACAGCTAGGAGAATGTTCATTCTAGCTCTGTTTATAATTGCAAACAATCTAAGGTACCAATAATAGGGAATTTATTAGTTAAATTATTATAGATCCTCATAACTAGGTATAGCCATTTAGAATTACGTTTTAAGAAAATATTTAATAACATGGAAAGATGTTCTCAATGTATTAAGTTTAAAAAGTAGATTGTAGAAAATGATCCTACATTAGTTTCAATACGTGTACATTTTTATTTATATTATATGTTTATAGTTTTCCTTGTGTATATAAACAAATCTAGCACCGAAAACTAAAATATTCATCAAATATAGTGCTAGTTATCTCTTAAACATGTGATTACAGGGTATCTTTATTTTCTTCTTTTTTCCTAATATGTTACTTTCTATAGTAACAGTGTATTATTTTTGCAAAACATATATGTGGATAATTCATATGTATGTATATGTGCACATAAACTTTTTCTTTTCAAATGAAACAATGTGTTTATTCATATAATTCTTTCCCTCTTTTGGAAAGAAATACATTGGGAAAAATTGGATTAGGATTGAAGCAGATTCCTGCTCCACTGTTCCCAGCTGGATCTCTGCAGCTGAGATTCGGTGCAGACCTCCAGTAGCAACGTCCGTCCACCCCCATGTGGCTGGTGTGTGGTATAGTCTCCCAGAGCTGCTACACCTCATCCACACTTCTTGGTGGTTCAAAAAAAGAAAAGGGGGGAAAGTATGCTTATACTGCTTTCAAAAGGAAACAGGGAAGAAACAGCAAAAGCATTCAGACAAGACTGGTTTTGTGCCAAGGGATGCTTCTTATCATGAAAAAATATATAATATATTCATATATATAAATATATATATATTTCCCCCCCCCCGCCCCAAAAAAAAATACCTGTTGTTTAGGTGAAAAGCCCAGAAGGGAAATTTCAGAAGACCAGTACCGGAGCTGTCAGAATGCAACCCAAATCAGATGAGTTGAAGTTTGTCACCAAGAATGATGGATATGTGCACATTCACCCTTCCTCAGTGAACTATCAGGTTGGAATGGTGGGGTACACCTGTATTTACATATGGCAGGTCCTGCAGGGGGCAGCACAGTCCCTTCAAACCTCCTTCTATTGTTCTCTGTCCCCAGCAGCACCACTGACTTGGGGAAGGTTGAATAAGCATGAGCAGACTAGAAATTGGACTGTTTGGGGAAAGACTATTTCCATTTTAAGAAAATTCTAATGGATACCAAAAAAATGCTCAAACCTGCTTTCAGATGTAAAATTGTTTCTCTGCAGTGGTGATTGAAGAAGTCAGGCTGTAACTGCATCCCTAAATGTGTGCCTTAAATGACCTGAACTTACCGATGGCACTGCCTCGGTGCTCCTTCCTCCCGCAGCTGCCGGGCTCTGCTCCCGCCGCTCCGCTCACCTCCCCACAGGTTATGCGTCGCCTCCTTGTCAAACCCAGAGAACACGCCCTGGTCCTCCTCAGACTTGACTCTTGTGTAGTATTTGACAGCACTAACCTCCCGTCCTCCTGAAACTATCTTTGATGTGGTTTTGCTCCTGAAATGCCACTTTCTTCTCATTCTCTCTGATCATCCCCCGACACCTCTTTGACTGGTTCCTTTGCTCTGAAATAGTGGTTCTGTCCTTAGTCCTCATTTTCTCCCTACAGGGCACTTAATCTTCCCGAAGCACCAGACATGGCACTGTGGTTCTAATGGCCACCTACAAGCGGCCACAGAGCCCCAGATCTCTCTCTGGGCCTGGGCTTCTTCGGAGCTCTCCTGCTGGAGATCATCAGCCGGATGCCTGCCACTCACCTCAGACTCTATCTCCCACTTCCCTCTTCTCTTCCTGTCTTCTGTGTCTTGGTGAACGGCCCCCTCCCAACCAGAACCCTGCGCTCACAGAGACCCTGCCGCTCTTCTCCTTACTCCGGTCCATTTGGACCCCAGGTCCCAGCAGTTGCCCCTAACGACACTCTCAGATGGGCCTCCTCCCCTTCTCCCCACCGTCCCTTCCTCAGTTCAAACCCCGAAAGTGCTGTCACGATCTGACTTCCGATCCTTCCTCTCCAGCCTTTTACAGTCCTGCTGCCAGAAGTAACTTAGCAAAACACACAGTCAGTCATGTCATTCCCTGGCTTAGAACTCTTCCTACATGGAGTCTCCTGCAAACGCTCCTGGGATCCTGTGTGCCTGGCCCCTCCTATACCATGTCCCGCACCGTTCCCCCCCCCCCCCACCCCCGGTCCTTCTGTGTGCCATGACATTGGACACACTTCCTCAGAACCTGGAATGATGTTCTCATTCTCAGCAGGCTCCTAGTCTTCGAGCTTCCATGAAGAAGCTCTCCCTCAAAGTTGCTCTTTATTTCTGGTTCCACCATCGTGTGGCATGCATTTTATCCACTGTTGCGCTTATCACATTGTTTTATAGTTTGTGGTACATCTCCTTTGTGGAATTGTGAAATTCCTAAAGACAGGAATTGTATGGTAGACATTTTTGTATTCTCAGTGTCTAGCGTGGCGCCTAGCAGAAAGCAGATGCTCAATAAAACTTAGAGAGGAGATGGAGCAAAAGAGGACAGGAGGACGGAGGAAGAGAATTTGAAGTGTCAGGGCTGGTCAGCCCCCTGCAACTACTGAGTAATGTGTCAGCAGAGCATGAAAAGGGTCTCCTTAAGCCCAGAAGAATCTGAGGCCCGGAGGTCATCTGGTCTCTCAGCTGCACATGTACTTAGGAGCTAGAGGGCTGAGCTAGCTCTGCTCCTTCTCTTCTGACTTTACCTTGACAGTCATGCAATGAATCCAAATTATTCATGCATCCATTCAGTATCTACTAGCAACTCCTCTGTGCCAGGCACGGTTGTGGGCCATGGAGGGCAGTGGATGAGCTGGACAGACAAGGCCTCTGTCCTCAGGGAGCTTCTGTTCTGCTGAGGAAGACAGGCGAGAAATAAGTAAACAGATCACCTCAGGTTAGTGACAAATGCTATCAAGAAAAAGAAAACCGAGTAAGACGTTGAGAGTGACAGGAGAGGGGCCATTTTGCTGAGAGTGGTCAGGGAAGAACCGTCTGAGGAGAAAACGACTGAGCAGATCCCAAATGCAGTGAAGGGCGAGCCATGGAGATATCTAAGGAGAGAACATTCCGGCAGAGGAAACGAGACGGGAGCACACTGGCGCGCTCTGGGGGCGCAGGCCAGCGGCTGGGACAGGCGGGGTGCGCTGTGAGGTGCCGGAGGAGCCGCTGTGCTGGGCCAGGTTGGGGGGGGCCTCAGAGGCCATGGTAAGGGTCTCAGATTTTATCCTCCAAGTCGCTGCAGGCTTTTGCGCATGGGTTTTTAAAAGATCACGGTGGCTGCTGGGCGGGAAGAGACCATGAAGGGGTAAAACAGAAGGCAGGTGAGCGCTTAGGAAGCCGTGACCGTGGTCCGTGCGAGTCGGTGATGCTCTGAGCTGAGGTGGTAGCTGTCACGGCGGGGAGAATATGTCAGTTCGTTATGTATTTAGAAAAGAGAACCGACAGGCCCTAGTGATAATTTCGATGGAGTGAGGGGAAAGAGCAGTTGAGGATGGCTTCTAACTTGGGGACGTGAGCAGCGAGGTGAATGGGAACATCATGTACTGAGCGGGAGGGGAATACCGTAAAGAGGGGGAAATCAAGAATTCATTTTGAACGAAAATCCGAGATGCTTATTAGAGATCCAAAGTGAGACGTCAAGAAGGCAATTGCACGCGGAAGCCTGGCCTCGGGGGACAGGTACCGGCTGGAGAGAATTTGGGGAGTCGTTCATAGACAGGTGGTACTTCAATCCGTGGAATGGGGGGAGCTCCCCTCCAGCTGCCAGTGTCGTCATCTGAGGTTTTCTGTTCCAGGTCAGACACTTTGACAGCCCCTACCTGGTGTACCACGAAAAGATCAAAACTAGTCGGGTGTTCATCCGAGACTGCAGTATGGTGTCCGTGTACCCACTGGTCTTGTTCGGGGGAGGCCAAGTGAGTGTGCAGCTTCAGAGAGGGGAGTTTGTAGTGTCCTTGGATGATGGTTGGATCCGTTTTGCGGCTGCTTCCCATCAGGTAAGGGCTAGCGGGCCCGTCTGTGAGGCGCAGGCCCTGAGGGGCTTTGATGCTGTGACTAGAGGGCATTCCTTCAGGCGCCACAGACAACAGAGCTGAGGCAGAGTGAACTGTGGGGGGGTGGGGGGGACACGGAGCACGACCCAGGCTAGGAGCGAGGCCAGGGCTCGAGGCTCAGTGAGAGCCTGGGCAGTGCACGGGGAGGGGAGCCCAGGATGGGCTGGTGTGAAGGGTTCGGGGCAGAAGCCATGAGTGAGATGTTGGACCTTCCTAATTGTTGTACAAATAACACATGTTCACCAAAGAAAAATCAGAAAATATAGATGAGCAAAAATAAACAAAAATCACCCTGATTCTACCACTACCATTAAGAAAAAAACAAAAAAGGAAGTGGGTCTGAATTCTTTTATTCTCAGGTCTCACATATTCACTATTGGAATCTCTGCAGAAACATTTAAGGGGGAGTATATGTTTAGGAAAGAAAAATTCATTTTAACATTTGCATCTGGCAGAAAGGTAGCAAGAAGCAGAAACACCAACTCAAACATTAAAGAGAATTTATCGGCACATTTAACTATAAAGTCTAAAGCAGCATAGTCCAATAAAAATATGTGAGACATATATGTAAGTTCAATTTTTCTAGTAGCCACATGTAAAAAATAGGTGAAATTAATTTTATTTAACCTAATATAGCTAAAAAGTTTTAATTTTAACACGTAATCAGTATAAGAATTTATTGAGATGTATTTTTTTTTATATTAAATCTTTAAAATCTGGGGTGTATTTTACACTCACAGCACATCTGTTTGAACTGGCCATTAGATTAGCCACGTGTGACAGGTGGCTGCCGTATTGCACAGAACAGGTCAGGAAGGCCAGGCAGGGTTGGTTTAATTCAGCAGCTCAAGGACAACAAAAGCCTGGCTGACCTCATGGTAGCAGCATGGCTGCCGTAGCCCCAGGCCTCACATCTGTGTGGCAGCGTACTGTCCAGGAGGGGAGACAAGAAACTTCCTCTCCTAAATCAATTTCTATGGACAAAGGAATGTCATAAACTCTAAGGCCCAGATGATCTGAGCCATTCACTCCGGCAAAGCTCATGGCATGAGCCTGTTTGAGTTGGGTCAGGGTGCAAACCACATGGTTGCCAAATGATGGGGGAGCGGCAAACCACGTTGGGAGGACATCTCCAGTGCCCACCACACATCAGCATAAGAAAATGCCATAAAAAAATGTGGAGCTATTTCTTCCCATGAAAGCATCAAATGTATCCCAAAGCTACAGATTTTTTTGGTTTAATATCCAGCATTTTTAATTCTCCGTTTTCCTGCTTCTCCTCTTGGAGCAAATTGTAAATGTTGACCAGGCTTTAATATGCAGAACACTACGTAGAAGCCATTCTCCCAGATTTAATCTTTTCTTTAAATGAGATGTGATAGAGGAGCGTTTTTATAATAGACCCCATTGGGGCGCCTGGGTGGCTCAGTCGATAAGCGTCTGCCTTCGGCTCAGGTCATGGTCCCAGGGTCCTGGGATCGAGCCCCGCATCGGGCTCCCCGCTCGGCGGGAGGCCTGCTTCTCCCTCTCCCATTCCCCCTGTTTGTGTTCCCTCTCTCGCTGTGTCTCTCTCTGTCAAATAAATAAATAAAATCTTTAAATATATATATATAATAGACCCCATTTATTATATTGCAGAGCTGACATTGCATAAATGTTCTTACAGCTGCATCAAGAAATTTTAGAAGCCCTTTTAGAATAAATATGTGTTTAGTTTCTCCTCCCCCCTCCCCCCCCCCGCATGGAGTTAAAATTACTACCAGAAATCTAGAATAATGATAATCATCAGTGGGACATTTCCTTTAATAACCTTTCCTCCCCTGTTGACCCAACCACTGCTCACATTGTAACTTTCATTTTAGGTGGCTGAACTAGTAAAGGAACTCCGCTGCGAACTTGACCAGCTTCTCCAGGATAAGATAAAAAACCCAAGCATAGATCTGTGTACATGTCCTCGAGGATCCCGGATCATCAGCATGATTGTGAAACTTGTCACCACACAGTAAAGACCAGTCTTAGGAGAGTGCTTGCTACTCCCCTGCTTCTTGCTCACCTGGGAAATAAGAGCAGGACCTCTACCTCCAACCAGGCTCTGTGCTTGGGCTGCCCTGGTGAAGGAGCCCAGGGCAGGCACTGTGCAGTCAGCTGAGGCCCCACACACACTTAGGGAAGGTTCCCAGACCTTCTGTATTTCGACAGAACAGGGACACTCCCTGCACAATTTGGAGCGTCCGTGCGAGGCAGTCTAAAAACCAGCTTGCCTGTCTTTTTCTCTGTGGCTATCCCGGAATGAATGAAATTCACCTCATCATACAAAAGTGAATGTTTAATACGATTCTGTTTTAATCTATGTATTTTTTTCTCTCCTGCTTTTTTACTAGGGTGAGATAGGAGCATGAGGAGAAATACTGAATGTTTTTTTCTATCATAAAGGCTCATCTGAAAGAAGTTAGAACAGAGAAGGACAAAAAAAAAATCATGAGCGAGAAAAATTAAAATTTCATTTTTAGGCTATTGGCTATAAAGTAAACTTAATCTGTAAGGGATTTTTATTTTTACTCATTAAAGTTCAGCCTAAAAAACAAACTCGAAGAGCTCTTGTTTGTTATTAAAATGCAAGCTGGTTTTATCCTTACCATTCTTATTCTCAAAAGCAGAACAGTCTAGGTGTCTTTGTTTTGGTTTTGGTTTTCCATTTAGGAGTCTCTGCTCTCTCTTAGGAACACACCCAGCTCTAATGGCCACATTTCACATTACCCAGTGGGGAATTTTGATGGTCTTCCCGGAGTGGACTTGGCACAGTCGAGGTAGAAAAGGTTGCCCTGCTAGTGTCAGATTCACAGCCATAAAAATATCTTACAGGAGGCTGCTTGTTTTCACCCGCCACTTAGGTGAATGGGGAGCTAGCATTTTGAAAAACTATCAGTACATTTACATATTCTCTGGACATTTATCCATGTGGCCAGGAAACATCCCAAAGAGCTGAGTAGAAAAAATATTCTTATATTCTGGCACTCAGGTAGAGTCACTGCAGATTTCATGCTCTAGATGGAATTCAAACCAATCAGCAGAACCACCTCAGTGAAGGGAGTTCACTTTTCACAGTATTATTTCAGTTATATTTTCAGGAAACCTCCTGGACTGTCCAAAATGGTCATTATCAAGCGTGTTTAGCTTTGGCGCACTCGAAGAGCTTAGACTCTAAATAGTATTTTTAAAATATTTAAAATAATACTATCTAAAAATAGTATTTTAAAAGATTCATGTCATCACTTTAAATAAAAAACACGTATATGCATAGCACGCACCCACAGTATTCAAGTTCTGACTTGCTACCGAAACAAGGCTCACATTACATAACGGCTCAGGAGAAATGAAGGAGAAGACCACACTCACCCTCTAAAACATTCTTTTGAACCAGTTTTGACTCTCGGTGCTGTAGTGGAACTGATGCTGGCCACCCTAGCTGGAGCCACCTGCCCACTGGACCCACAGCTTTCCACACAGGTTTGCAGCAGAGATACAGTGGGGAGAAGAGAAACAAGAGAACTTTCCATCCAGTGCTGAGAAATCGCTCCCCTCGGGGAGGTTATTCTTGGGCTGGTCACTGGCAGCCACAGACAAATGCACAGCTCATTCCACAGATGTGCCAGGATGTGGAAAAGATCGGAAAGCCTTGACTGAGGACACTGAATAAGAAAGTCCTCCCCGCCAAAACCGAACTTAAGCCCCCTCATTAAAATGATGAAGCAAATGAAACAGGATTACTTCTTCGCAATTGAAGATCAGCACGCTGTAGAGCATTTTAAGGTGAAACCAGATTTCTAAGCCCCAGCAAGATGGTCAGCATTTAATGTTAATTTTATGGAGAATTCTGTAAATGTTTCTCAAGTATTTGCTTTGCTGGAATCTAGCTGGGAAACAATATTGGTAAAGTACTTGCTACAAAATAAGTCTGTGTTAGGGTTTTGTAGTCTGTGTCTTTGGGGAGTTCTCAGGAAATGAGAGTAGGTAAACATTCTTTCTTGCAGAGGTGGTCATAGGTTGGCAGAGCATCAGCTTTGTCTTCTTCCTCCTTGAGTTCCGTATCTGAATATTATAATTCAGACTCCCTGACAAGTATTGAACTTTGGTCTTTTATCCTCCCATTCTGCTATTCGAGCGGTTTAACTAATATACCAAAGCACACAGCCTGTGGATCTGTAGGCATATGGTAAATGTTCTTTTTCCTTTCTAGGCGGTGGTTTGAGTATGTCCCTAAGAGGTTATCCTAAAATAAGACCTTGTGAAAGTACTTTGTAAAATTAAAATGTAGCAAATGTAAGCAAATTGGGACCAAGGGTGTGGTTTTCAGACGCAGCCCAGGCTGGCTTTTTGCGAACTGCACTCTGTTGTGTTTCTCAATGGCTGGGCTGAGCTGGGGAGCTTAGGCGTCACACTCGGAGGGTCCCTTGTGGGTGTCACCTCGTTGCCACAGAAATGAGGATCCCTGGGGGCAGCAGAATTATGCTCACACTGCCATTGTGCTTAAACAAGCCTAGGCAGATGCTGGCTCTTTCCTCAGTCGTGCTAGAATTAAGCGGAATTCCTAGGGCTTGTTTTCTCCCAAATGCAGAGGGAAAGTCGGCTTAAAATATTTAGCCAGTTAATAAACACAGGGTGAGCTACTGTCTTCAGAAGTTAGATCTTGATCATGAAACTGTGTTAGTCAATACTTGAGTACACACAGTGCGGTGCCTCAGGTGGAAACTATAGAAACAGCTAATCCAATGTAGTGTCACAGCAATAGTTTCAGACTGTTCCAGAGTGACCGGCTTCCATGTCTTTTTAAGTCTCACACATGTAAAGCTGTGTAATGACTGTGTAAACCATTAACCACGATGAGTCATTACCAGGAGAGACTTTTTTCTTGCCATTTCTAAGTTATCCACCCCCCCAAAACCATATATCAAAGAGATTAGTCTTAAATAAGATTTATAGCCAATCACTAATCCTTAGGGTGCTTTAAAATCTTAAATGTCTTAATAATTTGCTTTGTCAAAGAGCAGAGAAAGAGTTGTGTTGGAAATCACTCGCCTGATACATGAGCCATCAGGTGACATCGATATTTCATAAAGATAAAGGAGAGCAGCCCAAACGTGAGCTTGTTCCCACAGACGTTTGAGCCTCTGCCCCGTCTTTGCCGAATGGGGGCCATCCCCGAGTCTACTCCTGAGTCAGTTCCAACCCAGCTAACTGAGTAAATAAGCCAGGACGCAGTGCCCCAGTGAGAGCTAGGAGGAGGAGGATGGCTTAGAATCCATTTACTGGATTTCTCCACCTGTATTTCAACTTTTTAGGAAAGAAACAAATCGCAACAAAAGATGATTTGTATGAGGGTTTTGTTTGAAAAGGCAACTTCCCAGGGGCACCTGGGTGGCTCAGGTCCAACTCTTTTGATTTCGGCTCAGGTCGCAATCTCGGCGTGGTGATATCGAGCCCCGTGTCGGGCTCCACGCTTAGCGGGGAGTCGGCTTAAGAGTCTCTCCCTCTGCCCCTCCCCCTGCTCGTGGGCTCTTTCTCAGTCACTCGCTCGCTCTCAATAAATAAATAAATTCTTTTTTTTAAAAAAGGCAACTTCCCGTAAATACCAACAATGAAAATCAGTGTTTAGGATGATAACCCTGACATTACAAATACAATATTCCTAAATATGGTATCATAATGTATTTAATAAACATTTTCAACAGAAACATTTCAAACAGTGAGGGTTTTTGTTATTACTATTCTTTATGCAGAAAAATGCAGTTATTGCTACCTCTTCCAACCTAGGTTTTACTGAGAATGGCCTGAAGGAGTTAATTTTCCTTCCAAGTCGAATGAGCTTATTTTTATAAAGGGGAGATTATCCATGGCCGGTTTTCTTCTAAATGATTCAAGACAGGATAACATAGCCAAAAAGACTCATTTACTTCCTGAGAGTCCCCTTTTAATAAGTTTTGCCTCGTTCCATCCTTAAGTTTCAAATGTATTAAAACAAAAGAATGTTAACCGTTCAAGTAGGACTTTATTTATTTGTCCATAGAGGTTGATTAACTACAATACAGGATCTTACCATGTACAAAGACTATAGAGAAGTTTCCTCACAGGACAAAATGTATATTTTGCTTGTTTTAAACCAGTGGTCCTCAACTGGAGGCAATTTTGCCCACCAGGGAACACTTAGCAATATCTGGAGACGTCACAACTGAGTGGGGATTGGGGTGTGCTCCTGGCATCTAGTAGTTAGAAGCCAGAGATGCTGCTAAATATCCTACAATGCATAGGATCCTTCTCGAACAAAAAATTATCCAGTTCAAAATGTCAGTAATGCCAAGGTGGAGAAAACCTTTTTAAACAAAATGAGATAGGCGACTACTTAAAAAGTCTAGCTATCAGTTACTAATCAGATATAAATTATGCCCACAGTGGTCTCTGAAACTTATGCTTAAATCAACTCTAATAAACATGTACTGTGTGAATAAGAGCGTATGAGTCCATCATGTTGTTACCCAATGCAGAGTACTTAAGAATGTGAGGAAATGGGGCGCCTGGGTGGCTCAGTTGGTTAAGCGACTGCCTTCGGCTCAGGTCATGATCCTGGAGTCCCGGGATCGAGTCCCGCATCGGGCTCCCTGCTCGGCAGGGAGTCTGCTTCTCCCTCTGACCCTCCCCCCTCTCATGTGCTTGCTCTCTCTCATTCTCTCTCTCTCAAATAAATAAATAAAATCTTAAAAAAAAAAAAAGAATGTGAGGAAATTATATGTACAAATGGGAAAAGCCATGTACAGGTGGGTAAGGATATATTTACTTTAAAAACATGTTCTAGCATTAAATTTCATTTTTGTAAATACCACTTATTTTGAAAATGTGAAAATAGGTTAAAACATGTGTTTTGAAAATACAATTTGTATGTGACACTAATACTGTTAACATTTTCCACTGCAGAACTCAAGTTCTTAGGCCCACAGTAAGATGTCTGAAATACACACACCCTTACTTTATCTTTCTGTTATTTGAACAGAGTCCAACCTAGTAGACTTTGGCCGATATGATATAACACAAATAGGGTTTTAAGAAGGGGGAAGGGAGTGTATAGCTCTATAGGTAGGTAACTGTAAAATGTTGAAATATAACATGAAACCTAATTAGGAACTATAATTTCTAGGCTCAGTAATCCTTCTCCTATCGTTTGAACTGGAAAAAAAAAAAATCTTTGTTTTAGGACTTGATTATTAGTAAGATTACCAGACTGAAAGTCAAAGATGTGTTATGCTCTTTAGAAGACAGATGTCCTGCCCCGCATCGGGCTCCCTGCTCGGTGGGAAGCCTGCTTCTCCCTCTCCCACTCCCCCTGCTTGTGTTCCCTCTCTCGCTCTCGCTCTCTGTCAAATAAACAAATAAAAATCTTAAAAAAAAAAAAAAAAGACAGATGTCCTTACAAATCAGGGGCCATGTTATACCATGGGCACCAAGGGACAATCCCATATGAGGAGGAAACTAATCCATTGATTATAGACCCAGCACAAAATAATCCGTAATTATAGACGTTTCTGTTAATGCCACCCTTCTGCCTCTGAAATTCACCTGTGCACGTTCCCATTTAAGCTCCAGCTGTCCCCATTATTTCTGGCCCATAAATCTTTATACCATCCTTTTCCACAGTAAGCATGGCTAAGATGGATTAATTGAAACATGCAATCTGATTAGTTAACAGGGAGGCTGATTGTCCAGTTTATAAGTAATGTGTACTACACGGCTAGTTTGAGACCCATATTGGGGTTGCAGAAATTCCTCCCACATTTATGCTCATAATTTCAATATAACCAACATTTTAAGCAGGTGCTATGTGTCAGCCACGATAGGAATACAAAGATAACTTGGGACACAGGAGGGGCACCTGGGTGGCTCAGTCAGTTAAGCAGCTGCCTTCAGCTCAGGTCATGGTCCCAGGGTCCTGGGATTGAGCCCCGCATCAGGCTCCCTGCTCGGCAGGAACCCTGCTTCTCCCTCTCCTACTCCCCCTGCTTGTGTTCCCTCTCTTGCTGTGTCTCTCTCTGTCAGATAAATAAATAAAATATAAAAACAAAAAAACAAACAAAAAAAGATAAATTGGGACACAGGAGAAACAGGACAATAAAGAAATAAAGTTTACTTGAATAAATTCAGTCAGGAGCTTAATTTACCCCCTGCAAGAGGCTTTGAGGGTTCTAAAGAAACTAGATGCCTATATGTTGAAATTAAAACGAAGGATACTAATGACTTTGACCAAGTCTTTTAATTCTGCTTTTTTTTTTTTTTAGATTTTATTTATTTGACAGAGAGAGACACAGCGAGAGAGGGAACACAAGCAGGGGGAGCGGGAGAGGGAGAAGCAGGCTTCCCGCGGAGCAAGGAGCCTGATGCGGGGCTCGATCCCAGGACCCTGGGATCACGACCTGAGCCGAAGGCAGACGCTTAATGACTGAGCCACCCAGGCACCCTTAATTCTGCTTTTTAAGCATCTGATCTCATTCAGCAATTAGGTGTGCCTTTTTGTTGTTGTTGTTTACTGGAGAGAGAGAGCAAGTGACAAAGAGCGAGCATGAGCGGTGGGGAGGGGCAGAGGGAGCAGGAGAGAGACAAGCAGACTCCCCGCTGAGCAGGGAGCCCAATGTGGGGCTCAATCCCAGGGTCCTGGGATCATGACCTGAGCTGAAGCCAGACGCTTAACGACTGAGCCACCCAGGCACCCCTAGGTGTGTTTCTTCAAACATTGTTAAGGGGAAGCAGGTGGAGGAAGAAAGGGAGAAAAAAAATAAACATTGTGAGCAAACGTCTGCATATCACCAAAAAAGAAGCTGTAGGGAATAAATTTATGGTCTACTCTCTCTTGAAAATGTATTTGGAGGGCGCCTGGGTGGCTCAGTTGGTTAAGTGTCCGACTCTTGGTTTCGGCTCAGGTCGTGGGTTGTCGGATGGAGCCCCATCTCAGGCTCTGCGCTTGGGGTGGGGGTGGGGGAGTCTGTTTGAGACTCTCTCCCTCTGCCCCTCCCCCCAATCGCACGCACTCTCTAAAATAAATAAACTTTAAAAATTAAGAAAAGAGAAAAAAAACCCCAGAAAATATATGTGACCTTAAGTTAGGCAGAGTTCTTAGCTACAAACACCAAAAGCATGATCCATAACAGAAAAAAAAAAAATTTGGTAAATCATACTTAGTCAATTTCTTAAACTTTTGCAGCTTAAAAACATCGTTAAGAAAATACAAGACAAACCACAGACTGGGAGGAAATATTTGCAAATTATATTTCGATAAAGCACTTGTATCTAGAATATATTAAGACTTCTTAGAACTCAAGTAGACAACTCAGTTTTAAAGAACAGGCAAAATACTTGAGTAAACATTTCACCAAGGATATACAAATGGCTTAAGAAGCAAATGAAAAGATGCTCAACATCATTAGTCATCAGAGAAATGCAAATGAAAACCACAATGAGATACTACTTCATAACCTCTAGAATCACATACAGTACCACATATTCATAGGGGTGCAGAGAAATTAGAACCCTCATACATTGCTGATGGAATGTAAAATGGTATGGCCATATTAGAAAATAGCTTGATTTCTTAAAAAGTTAGACATAATTTATCATGTAATCCAGTAACTCCATTCATAGGTATTTCACATAAGAGAAATGAAAATATATGTCCATACAGAGACTTCTCACAAATGTTCACAGCAGCATTTTTCATAATAGTTCCAAACTGGGAATAACCCAAATATCCATGGTAAATGAATAAATAAAAAGGAGTATATTCACAATGGAATATTATTAAGAAAAAGGAGCCTGTGATACATGGTACAACATGGATGAACTTCAGAAACATAATGCTAAGTGAAAGAAGCCAGACACAGAGACCACATATGGTATGATTCCATTTATATGAAATATACAGAAATGTCAAGCCAATAGATACAAAAAGATTAGTGGTTGCCTGGGACTGAGGGTGGGAATGGGAATTCACTGCAAATGAGATACAGAATCTTGTTGGGATGAAAATGTTTAAAAAAAATAAAGAATTATGGTGATGGCTGCACAACTCTGTAAATTTACTAAAGATCACTGAATTATATGCTTCAGGTAGATGAATTTTATGATACGTTAATAATACCTCAATAAAGTTCTTTAAAAAAAGATTTTATTTATTCATTTGAGAAAGAGAGAGAGAGCATGAGCAGGGGGAGAGGGAGAGGGAGAAGCAGACTCCTGGCCAAGCAAGGAGCCCGAGGCGGGACTCGATCCCAGGACCCTGAGCCAAAAGCAGACGCTTAACCATCTGAGCTACCCAGGTGCCCCTAAAGTTCTTTTTAAAAAATATGTTGGATGCCTGGGGCGCCTGGGTGGCTCAGTTGGTTAAGCGTCTGCCTTTGGCTCATGTCAGGATCCCAGGGCATCCTGGCTCCCTGCTTCTCCCTCTGCCTGACGCTCTCCCGCTTGTGCTCGCTCTCTCTGACAAATAAATAAATAAAATCTTAAAAAAAAAAAAAAGTGCATACTTAAAAAAAAAAAAAGATTCTCTCCCCTCACCCTAACTGCCCCCCCGCAGCTGGTGCACATGCGCTCTTTCTTAAAAAAAAAAAAAATACACTGGGCACCTGGCTTTCTCAATCGGTAGAGCATATGACTCTTGATCTCAGGGTTGTTAAGTCGGAGCCCCATGTTGGGTAGAGAGATTACTTAAAATCTTTAAAAATAAATAAATAAAAATTTGTTGTAAGATTCCTTTAACTAAAAAAAAAAAAACAAAAAAAATAGTGGGGCACCTGGCTGGCTCAGTCAGAAGAGCATGTGACTCTTGATCTTGAGGTCATGAATTCAAGCCCCACCCTGGGTGTAGCAATGACTAAAAAAATAAATAAACAAAAAAAAAGTCACTTTACAGTGGAGAAAAGTGAAAAACTACCTTCACCTAGTGATCACAGTTAACATCACCAGAAATGGGACAAATCAATATTATGTACCTCCTGATATGATGTATTGAGAACACACTATCATTTCCAGGGTATTCCTACCCAAAAGAATCCTATCAAATTGAAACAAAATGAAACATCAAACTCAAATTGAGGATTATTCCACAAAATAAATGTCAATGTCCTAAAAATCAAAGAAAGACTGAGGAACTCTTTCCAATTAAAGGAAGGGACATGACTGAACATGATGCATGGTCCAAATTTTAAAAATCATTTTGGGGGCACCTGGGTGGCTCAGTCGTTAAGCGTCTGCCTTCAGCTCAGGTCATGATCCCAGGGTCCCTGCTCAGCGGGAGGCCTGCTTCTCCCTCTCCCACTCCCCCTGCTTGTGTTCCCTCTCTCGCTGTCTATCTCTGTCAAATGAAATCTTTAAAAAAAAAAAAAAATCATTTTGTGTTTTGTTTTTCCGGTACAGGACATTGAGACGATCTGGATAAGGTGTGTATTAAACCACAGTACTATATCAGTGTTACTATCCTGATTTTGATGACTGTACTGTGGTTATTTAAGAGAATGTCCTCATTTTTCCATCGTGTCCATGATTTACTCTCAAACAGTTCAGGGGGAGAAAATGAACACACACACACATAGACGGAAAATACAAATGTGGTCAAATGTTGACATTTGCTGAGAGAAAGATATATGGGAATTCTTTGTCCTGTTCTTGCAAATTTCCTATAAATCTGAAATTACGTTAAAATAAGTTAAAAGCGGTGCATGTATGCTCTAAGTACATAATTAGAATATATTTCCATTTGAGTAAATATTAGAAACACAAAGAAATAGATTTGACAAAGTGATAAGAATATAAGGTTTCCGTGGCAGAGCCAGATCATTTACCCTCTTCGGCACTCAGCTTTTGTTTGCAGGCACATTGTTTAAACAGAGGACTCAGTTGCCAAGAAACAGTCTCTCTCTCCAGCTCATTAGTCTGACAGCAAACAAATCTACCAACACCAGTGCACCTGTCCCTGGAACAGGGCTTAAGCCCAACTGATGCTTTGGGCAATTTCCTACATGGCTTCTCTCATCTGAAGGCCTCCCTGTATTTTGCCAAAATCATTTCCACACTGAATTTAATTTGTTCTTATTCCTCTTCCCTTATTTCCTTCCCAAAGACATTCCAGGATTTGAATGGGAGGGTCTTAGTCACAAAGAGCAAGGCTATGTACTAAATCTTTTTAGGATCATGGGAACCTTATAAAGTTGTGAGGAATGGACTGTTTCCCCAAGGTTTCTGAACTGCTTTTTCAAGTGTGGCCTGAGACAGGTAGCATCACCATTATCTGGGAGTTTGTTAGAAATGCCAATGCCTGGGTCCAACCTGGACCTCCTGAGACAGAATCCCCTGGGGGTAGGGTCCTGCAATCTGTTTTAACAGCTCTCGGACTGATTCTGACGCTTGCTGAAGTGTGAGGAGTGTGAGGCTACATCCTGTCATTGGACAACTATGCAGGAAATTGCGCTGATCGGGCTGCATTCAAAGACCCCCTAAACGCTGACTTTTTTAAACTATTTCTTGCAAAAGGTACCGCTTCTCTTTTTGTATGAATAAGGGACATACGTGAGAACTGAAAGGGCTGTTTGCACAGCTGAATGCCTGCGGACAGACTAGGGAGAAGTTAAGAGTTCTGAGTTTAGCCCTATAGCAGCCCACGTGGCCTATCTAGGTCAAAACTGCCTTTGGAAGTCTGCCCCAAGCCCTGGCACACCAGACGGCTTCAAGGATTTCCTAGAGCAAACCTTCTGTGTGTGTATATATATGGACTTTATTTGAGAGACAGAGATAGTGACAGAGATAGTTGGTCTTTTTTTTTAAGATTTCATTTATTTTATTTGACAGAGGACAGCAGAGAGGGAACACAAGCAGGGGGAGAGGGAGAAGCAGGCTTCCGGCTGAGCAGGGAGCCCGATGTGGGGCTCGATCCCAGGACCCCGGGATCATGACCTGAGCTGAAGGCAGACGCTTAAGGACCGAGCCACCCAGGGACCCCAGGGTTGGTCTTTTATAGAACGCTAACCAGGGAACTTAAATCCTTTTAACATCTTTACTGATAACTCCTTCCATGGCTTACTTCCCTTTTAGGGTCTGGTTATTCTTTGTAGGTCACAGGTGATTATCATAAAGACACCCACCCCCCACACGCCTAGGGCAGGGCTGTATTTTTCTGTAAATATAAGCCATATAGTTTGTTACAATATTCAAATCTGCCACTATGGCTCAAAAGCAGCCACAGAAAATACGTAAACCAGTGGGTACGGCTGTGTTCCAGGAAAACTTTTATCAAATGGAGGCAGCAGGCTGCATTTGTCCCAAGGGCTCAAAGTTTGCTGACCCTTGTCCTAGGGAGTCAGAGGCCTGGGGTTCTAATCTGACCTGCCCTCGAGAAGACACCCAACCGACAATCTGAGGTACCTCCCTCGGTTTCTAGGCCAGAAACCTCCATATCGGGGCGCCTGGGTGGCTCAGTCGTTAAGCGTCTGCCTTCGGCTCAGGTCATGATCCCAGGGTCCTGGGATCGAGCCCCACATCGGGCTCCCTGCTCCGCGGGAAGCCTGCTTCTCCCTCTCCCACTCCCCCTGCTTATGTTCCCTCTCTCGCGTGTCTCTCTGTCAAATAAATAAATAAAATCTTTAAAAAAAAAAAAAAAAAGAAACCTCCATATCGAGTCCTGGCCCCTGCCTGGCTTCCAGGCCCCTGCCTGGCTTCCAAGGGGTAGGGCCAGGTTTAGTGAGGCATGCTTCCTGCGTTCTCTCCCCTCAGTGAAGCCTGACCCGGGAATGGGGGCTACAGGCAGAAAGCAGCATGGGCTGAAGGCCTTGGCTGAATCCACCAGGCACGGGAACTGGGTTCAGTGCAGGAGCAGAATACTTGTCACATTTACCTTTTTCGTCAGAGATATCAGCCAGGGCTCACTGTAAAGGCTTTGAAAGTTAAACAGCTTATGTGGTAAGATTTTACAAGAGGCTAAAACTTTTCAAGTTTCAACCAAAAAAGCATATATTCCAATAGATTCTGATTCAAAAGCGATTTCATCCTTACACAATAAATATTTTAAAACAGACACATACAGGTAGTGCAAGGGGCTTAACAAGACATTTTATATTGAATCTAACATGTGTTTCTTGCCTAACAAAAATGGAGGTGTACTCCCACCAACAAAAGACTCTTACAATTCTAATGTCCTTGTGCTATTTTGTTGCATGTGATGCTAGCTTTGCCATAGTTTGATTATTTATTAGCACTTATAATCCAGATCTTTGATTTTACCAAAACAACATAGAATTAAAACTCACACACACACAACTGTGTGCCTTTGAAGTCTTGTAATATGATGGATTTAACATTCAAAACATTTTATGAAGAAAAAAAAAATGAAATGTTATTTCAATTGATGCATCCATAGTTCTTGGCCTCTCATTGGCAAGCTGCAAGATGTCCTTGAATAAGATCCTGAACACGGGAGAGAATAATCTCATTAGAACTGCTGCAATTTTCTGGACCATACGGTGGGTCTATAGTCAGAACCCCAGCCACACACAGAGTCCTTCGTGAATCTCCCTGTTCTGTGATGGGGATGTGGTTCTTCTCGAGCCATTTCTTTAGGCTGTTCTTTCTCTTCTCCAGATCCTCAGGGTTGTAGGCCTTGCAGTCTCCAGACATGAACAAATTCATCAGCTTCTCTCTCACTCCATGGTCCCCTTCGTTCACAGTTTCAACGGTCTGCACAGCATGGCCCATAATTCCAGTCACAGACATGCTGCCATCTTCCAGGAAGTTCACAAGGACAATACTTGGGAGGAAAAGTTAAGTTCAGAGCAGATTTGCAAAAGAAAAATGTAAAGGCCCATAAAGCTACGGAAGAAGCAATGGAATGAAGAGGCATCACCAGCCCCAACAGGCAATTAGAAATCGGGAATAAGAACTTCCCTGTTTAAAATTAATCCCCTCACCACCAAATGTTTGTACTCATTCAATAAGTATTCACCGAGGGTCCTACACATCTAAACTTTTTTGTCTAGCCTAAAGCCAATCATGGCGGGATGCAGTTAAAGCACTGAAAAGTTATAAATGGCTTAAATGTGTATTAGAAATCAAGAAAGGGTACAGACTTAATTTTAGAGGTAAACAACTGAATAACTTGCCTTCAAAGCAGACCAAAGAAAATAACAAAGCACAAAATTAATGAAAGAGAAAACAAGAGTTAATAACAAGATCATCAAAGCCAAATGTTGGTTCTTTAAAAAACAAAAACAACGTAAAATTCACAAAACTCAGGCAAAACTGATTAGAATAGAAAAAAAAGACACATACAAATAATATTAGGAAGGAGGCAGCAAATATTGGCAATTTAAAGTATTAGGAACAAATTTATGCCAATAGTCTTGAAAACTAAAATAGAAAACTCCTAGAAAATGTAAATTTCTACTACTGAGTCAAAAAAAAAAGACTATAAATAGTCCTATAGTCTTTCATAAAAACTGAGTAAGTATTTTAAAATATTTTCCCATGGGGGGAAGGCCCAATTTTACTAACAAATTATATACAATTTTCAAGGTTCAAGCATTTTTTAAAGATTTTATTTGTTTATTTATTTATTTGAGAAAGAGAGAGAGAGAGAGACAGCATGACAGGGGAGAGGGCCAGAGGGAGAAGCAGGCTCCCTGCTGAGCTGGGAGCCCGATGTGGGACTTGATCCCAGGATTCCAGGATCATGACCTGAGCCGAAGGCAGTCGCTTAACCAACTGAGCCACCCAGGCACCCCAAGCATTTTTTTTTTAAGATTTAATTTTTTTAATTTTTTTAAATTTATTTGACACAGAGAGAGAGACAGCTAGAGAAGGAACACAAGCAGGGGGAGTGGGAGAGGCAGAAGCAGGCTTCCGGCTGAGCAGGGAGCCCAATGTGGAGCTCGATCCCAGGACCCTGGGATCATGACCTGAGCCAAAGGCAGACGCTTAACGACTGAGCCACTCAGGTGCCCCAAGATTTTATTTTTAAGTAATCTCCACACCCAATGTGGGGCTCAAACCCACAATCCCAAGATCAAGAGTTGCACGCTCCACCGACTAAGCCAGCCAGGCACCCCAAGGTTCAAACATTTCTAATCTAACCAAATTCTTCTAGAGACTATAAAAGGGGGACTGTGCCTTAACTTGTTTAATGAGGTTAATATAATCTTGATACCAAAAGCAGAGGAGAAGATTAAAATATAAAACTACAAGCTAATCTCATTCATGAATACAAATGCAAAAATCCTAACTAAATAAAATAAATGATGTGGTGTGATGTGATGTGAATTTCACTTCGTTGGTACTCCTCCCAAAACCTAAAATCCCAGGCTAATTATGAGAAAGCATCACAGAAACCCAAATTGAGAGACATTCTATGAAATACCTCACTCACCAGAACTCTTCAAAAGTGTCAAGGTCATGAAAAACAAGGAAGGACTGAAAAATTCTCAGAGATCAGAGGAGACTAAGGACACATGACAATTAAACGAATGTCAGATCCTAGATTGGATCCTGGAACAGAAAAAGGCAAACAATTAGGGGAAAAACTGTTAAAATCCAAATGATTGCAGTTTATGTAAAGTTTTAGTTTCGAGGACTGTACCATGGTTAGGTAAGATGCCAACATTAGGGGAAGCTGGGTAGATGGGTCCTCTCTGTATTCTTTTCTGTAAATCTAAAATCATTCCAAAATAAAAAGTGTGTGTGTGTATCATCACCTTTAAAGTAGTCTTGCAAGGGGCAAGGGGCAAGGGGCAAGGGGCGCCTGGGTGGCTCAGTTGTTAAGTGTCTGCCTTCGGCTCAGGTCATGGGCCCAGGGTCCTGGGATCGAGCCCTACATCGGGCTCCCTGTTCGGCGGGAAGCCTGCTTCTCTCTCTCCCACTCCCCCTGCTTGTGGTCCCTCTCTCGCTGTCTCTGTCAAATAAATAAATCTTAAAAATAAATAAAGTAGTCTTGCAAAAAACAAATCTGATCCTAATCAAACCTCTAGATAGGCATACCAGTTTATAGGAAATACGGATATAAGAACATGTTAAGCGGGCACCTGGGTGGCTCAGTCGGTTAAGCGACTGCCTTCGGCTCAGGTCATGATCCTGGAGTCCCGGGATCGAGTCCCGCATCGGGCTCCCTGCTCAGCGGGGGGTCTGCTTCTCCCTCTGACCCTCCTCCCTCTCGTGCTCTCTGTCTCTCATTCTCTCTCGCAAATAAAAACAAAAAACAAAAAACAAAAACAAGAACATTTGTTAAGCTACACCATGCACAATGCAGTAAGCTAAATCCAGAACGTGTTCAGTTCTATAAGACAAATGATTCCATTTCTTCAACAAATAAATGACATGGAAAACTAAAAAGAGAAAGTGCAGTCATAGATTAAGATACTTAAGAGACATACCAACCAAATTGATAAACCAATTAAAGAGATATTTTGAGACAACCAGGCAAATCTAAAAACGGACTGTTCATAATAAAGTTATTATTACTTTTGTTAGGTATTATAATGTTACTGTGGTTATTAAAGAGTCCTTATCTGCTAAAAGATATTGAGGTATTTATGAACAAAATTATATGATATCTGCAACTGGCTTAAAGATATTTAGAAGGGGAAAGAAAGGCTAGTGTCTGTTATGCTATTCTCTCTACATTTATGTATGCTTGAGATTGTCTAATAAAAACGTAGTAACAAGGAGCGCCTGGGTGCTTCAGTCAGTTGGACGTCTGCCTTCGGCTCAGGTCATGATCGCGGAGTCCTGGGATGGAGCCCCGCGTCAGGCTCCCTGCTCAGCGGGGAGTCGGCTCCTCCCTCTCCCTCTGCTCCTCCCCCTCCCTCGTGCTTGCTCTGTCTCCCTCAAATAAATAAATAAAATCTTAAAAAAAAATGTAGTAACAAAAAAAGTGTCTCACTTCTACAAACTTGGCTTGTCTGCCAAGGTAATCCATAGTTAGAACAACACTTCGACTCAAAAGCAACGCAATTCTTATGTGTGAATAACTAGCCTTTCATTTATCTACTTCCTTAGTTTGGATATAACATATAGGCAGCACAAAGGGGTGTCATTATGATTTCAGGGGAGAAGGAGCCATACTCACTTGGCAGAAACTGGGTCTGTGGTTAAAACCCATCCTTTATACTCCTTCTCACTGGCTGTCACTCTGACTTCTTTGTACGTGTAATCTTGCCATTCTAAGGGGCCTTTCCTCATCCATTCATTCATGGCTGCCAGCTGGCTAGATCTAAAACCACCACCAGTTCGGGTTAATGTATGTTCCACTCAAGGAAGTGCCATCCTAGAGATAGAGAACATCTGTGATTTGCCTCAAGTTCCATTATCAGGAAAATAGCTGATACTCACAATTCGGTCTGAAAGCTAAGGAGACACGGGCGCTGCCAGGAGGCCCAGCCCGGGGTAACTCATCCGGCTTACTTCTATTCCACCACCCAGTACGATTCCAAATCGCCTTCACCCTGGCTTTGAACTCCGGTCAGCAGATGCTCAAACCTTTTAACTCTGATCTCCTGCGATCAAAGGAACTCACTCCACACCACATTTAGCCAAAACTGAAGAGGAAAACTCCTTTGATATCCACCCACTTGCTCTCTCCAGCTCTTTCTCCGGGGGATCCCGCCGGGGAGAGGCCCCGGATTTGACAATTCCCTCTTATTTGTTTGGAGGATGCACGAACCAGGGGGCAGCAGCGAAAGCTCTAGAGCGCAGATTCCGTGGCCTAGCCTGCAGCTGCACGACCCTTAAAACGGTACTCAAACCTGGTGGTACTTAACGTTTAATTCCCACAAACGAAAGAAATACCAGCAAGAACTCCTCGCAGCGACGGGTACACAGTAACCACGCGGCGAGGAAGGAGTCACTCCAGCGGCGCCCATCTGAGCCCAGCAGGCTTTGCGCCACGTCGTCACTTCCTTCCCCCAGAATTCTCTGTTTTGTAGTCCTTGGCCTTGGTCACACCTAGAGGTCTGAGAGTCACCGGGCGGGGGGGGATAAAGGCCGGGTGCGGGCAGAGCCTGAGATTTTTGTGTAGTAGTAATAAGGCTCCTTGTTCGCTAGAACCACCCCTCTTCGCTGTCACGATGGACGTTTCAGCCTTTCGTTTTTAAAGAGGAAAAGTCTCGTGCCAAGTTCCTCGTTGAGAGTAGACCTGGAAATGCACCCTTGCGGTGGACTCAAAGCGCATGAACCCTATCGGTAAATCCTAACGCGGGAAGTGTGAGGTGAAAGTGCCTTGGAGAAAAGCGATAGAGCCAAGATACTTGTTTGTTTGGCTAGTGTAAGGCAATTAATACGTCTGCTCCGTTGGGATGTGCCCTGGCTACAGTCCTGCAGGAGGTGCGGAAGCCAGGAAGAAAAAGCACAGGATTGGGATGATTTCCACCTAGCCGACCGTTCGCTAGTGAGGGGTGCCTCGCTCACAGGAAAGCCCGGGCCTCTCCCCCGCAACCCCTCACCACCCCCGCAGTGGAAAAGGGCAAAAGACTCGCTTCTGCCACAGATTTCGGTTCAGGTATGTAGTCGGCTCCTGGCATGGTCCAAATAAACTGTGATCCTGAAAAATGGTACGAGGTGTTAAACGTTGAGTTTCTGCAAATGTGAACACCAAGGGAGATTTACGGAAACCGAATTAGAGGACTATCAAACCACGATGTAGAAAACATTGAGAATTAGTCAGCTTTTCCCTTACAATTTGGGATCTGAGTTCACATAATCCTTGAAGTACATTGTTTCTTATTGCCATCATTTTAAATAATCCTTTGGCAACCTTCACTCGAGTGTTTGGTTGATTATATTAATGTGGCTTTAGTAGATTAAATTAGATTATGCCAGTTAAGTCCTCTATAAATCTACAAAGAGCTAATATAAATACCAGTTGGGGGCGCCTGACTGGCTCAGTCAGAAAAGTATGCTACTCTTGATCCCCAGGTGGTGAGTCGGACTGGGTATAGAGATTACTTCAATAAAAAACTGTATAAATACATACATACATACCAGTTGTTAAAATGCGAAGCTAAACATATGACCTCATAAAAATTCAGTCCAGAAGAGCTTCAAACAATTGTGACAACTGGCCATTTGCATTTTAAGCCTTCTATCTGTACTGCAGAATCAAAGACTTTGGAAGCTAGCTCCAAGCTTAACTTAAATGACCCCTTTTAAAGTGATGAGACTGGGGCAAATTCCTTCCCTTCTCTCCCCTCTCCCTTTAGTCTCCCAGATAATCATTTCCAGCATCTGCTGATGTGAATCACTGATTTATAACAGACTGAGCCCAATCCACTCCATAATACAGGTTTACAGAAAGACCCTCTCCTGTAGTCCACCCTCAAGTTCAGATGGTGCCATTTCCTTTTCCTTACCCTTGTCCGCCTGGTGCCTCCCTCAGACCAGCTGATGTCCCTTCTCTCACATTTTCTACTTCCTCTCTTCCCTTTCCCTCTTCCTCCATCTCCTTCCTAATGTCTGCCTCCCCCTCAAACCTTCACACCCACCGACACACACACACTCTTAACCTTTTCCTCTGCCAAGTGAAAAATTGTTTATTCTAGATTTTGGAGTACATTTTAATTTTAGCAAGACTTTTTTTTTTTTTTTAAGTAATCTCTACACCCAACTTGGGGTTTAAACTCATGACCCTGAGATCAAGAATTACATGCTCTGGGACACCTGGGTGGCTCAGTCAGTTAACCTCCTCCTTCTGCTTGGGTCATGATCCCGGGGTCCTGGGATGGAGCCCCACATCAGCTCTCTGCTCAGCAGGGAGCCTGCTTCTCCCTTTCCCTCTGCCTGCCACTCCCCCTGCTTGTGCTCTCCCTCCCTCTCTTCTGTCGATCTCTCTCTGTCAAATAAATAAATGAAATCTTAAAAGGCACCAGCCAGGTGCCCCAGCAAGAAACACTTTTTTAAAAAAGCTTTTCTTAATTTCTCTGAAGAACATCAGAAGCTTAAAAAAGTTGTCAATAGTTTTACACTGTTCTTCATCATGGTGCAAAGATAAACCTGCCCTGCCCTGGCCAGACTATCACAATTTTCAATTCACAGTGTTGGATCATAATAGTAGGTAGATAAAGAGTATACTTATCATGAAAAAAAAAGTAGGTAGAAAATGAGTGGGGGTGGGATAGTAATTTGCTGAGTATATTTCATGCAAGGTAAGGTCAGAAAAAAATAAATGGTCATTTTGGCCCAAGATTTTTTTTTTTTAATGTTCTGGTTTTTTCATTCATTCAACAAGTAGAGTCCGTTAAAAGTGTCTATTCTTTATTTCTGCATTTATTCATCAAGCATATATTGTATACCTACACATGCACTTTCTGTTAACAACTAGGAATTAAAAAACTAATTTCAAAAATGTCTTCCCGGGCGCCTGGGTGGCTCAGTTGGTTAAGCAACTGCCTTCGGCTCAGGTCATGATCCTGGAGTCCCTGGATCGAGTCCCGCATCGGGCTCCCTGCTCGGCAGGGAGTCTGCTTCTCCCTCTGACCCTCCCCCCTCTCATGTGCTCTCTCTCATTCTCTCTCTCTCAAATAAATAAATAAAATCTTTAAAAAAAAAAAAAAATGTCTTCCCTTTGGGAAGCTGATAGTGTCTCCTCTACCTAATTTGGTAATAAATGGGAAGAGCTGGGGAAGGGGTTCTTAGAAAATCTTCTTAAAGAGGTAGTGCTTGAACTTGATTTATAAGTAATGAACCAACCACAAAAAATTCTGTGTCTATGGGACGCAGAACCTAATCAAAGGAGGTGTAGGTTGGAGTGAAAAGCAGTGGGCAGGGAGTTTTAGAAACCTTGGTTTCATTTGATCAAATCTGTAGTGTCCTGGTAAACTGGTTCTCCTGAAAAAAGGAGTTTGATTTGTACCATTTGCTGATTCCTGTGGTGTAAATATTCCTACCGTGGCTGATTTCAAGGTACCAATGATTTAACAACTGGCTCAAAAAATTCCTGAATATTTAACAAAGGGCTCTTTTAAGACAGTTTAAACTGGTTCCTGCACACCGCTGACTGTGTTCCTACCAGCTTTATGACTTTGGATGTCATTTGCCTTCTTAGATTTCAGTTTCCTCATTTATAAGTGAAAATGTGGGATTAGATGACCTAACATCCTGTCAGCAATAAATGTTCATGACTAAGCCATACAGTCACTTAGAAGCACTGTAAACCTTCTAAGGGCAGGGGCTATGTCTGTTTTATTTACTACCATATACCCCGCCTCTACCACATTGCCTGGCATATAGTAGGTGCTCAATTTCAACTGAATTTTCATTTCTTAGGCAGTTACATATCACCTAATATGTCCAGGCACTACTTTAAGAACTTTCAGATATTACCTCATTTTGAGTGAATAACTATACCAAAGAGAATGGAAAAAATTTGAGTGATGGAATAACATGATTAACTCAGTGTACTAGCAAGGATGCAGAAAAATGAGAGGTGGAGAAAACAGTATACACACACAGCATAAAACTTTATGTAAAATGTAGCCTCTCTATCCAAACAAAGCAGTGGTATCAGGACAAAATTCCAGAACCACTTTCCAAATGGAAAGCGGATTTAGGGAGGCAGTGTCTCTAAATTGATTAATTATCTGCTCTGCCCAGCGCTGCCCAGGCCTGCCCAGAGGGGAGATTTTTACAACCTCAGAGAAAATTGGTTTCCCTAGCAGTAAGGTGAAGATAGGATTGTTTTCCCTGGATGAAAATGCTTTGAACAGACTTTGTGAACTCTAAAGCACTAAATCCATGTAAGGCGTGAGGGTTTAGCAAACTGCTTCTGTAATTGTTGCTTTTCAAATATGCTCAGCTAATACCTTTATACTGGCTAAAAATCAGTGCCATTTTTTTCATTGAGTTCCTCTTAGTCAATGATATAATCAGTCTAAGCAGTACAAAAATACATGTTTTACATAGATTTTATTTTGTTTTGAAAAAAAAATAAAGTGGGGTTCACTATTTTTATTTTTCCCTGGAATTGCCTTGAAACAACAGAAGATGTTGACTACTGAGCTCCTAAAAATTGGTGCAGTGGCCCAGACAGGACATAATAAAGTCCTAGCCTAAGCTGATGGCAGTGGAAATGAAAAAGAGGAGAAAAAAGGAGTAGAATCAACAAATATTTTGAAGGAAAAATCAACAGGATTTAGTGATTGGATTGGGGCAAGGGCATGTTGAGAACTTTGATCCGTTCTTTTCTTCATTCATAACCCCCTCTTCCTCTTTGTTTTTTCAGGATCTCAGGCCTCCAAATAGTTATTATATTTACTAACTAGATAAGAAATTTTTTCCTGGAATAAAAAATGCTTCAATAACACTTTATTTGTGTTTATGGCACAGGAAGGCCACAGTGAGGTCTCTCTGCCAAGCTCTTATAAACTAACTCTAAACGTTAAGTAAAATGGATGTGATTCGATCTGTGATTTGTTGGTACAGAGAGACCATCTATAATCTGGATCACCAGAAAATGTGGGGATGACCAAAATTCCAAACTAAGTGACCTGGTTGTATTCTCTGGACACAGGACTGGAATGGGATTTTATAGTAGTAAATGGAAACTTGATTGTTATGACACCCTACTGGGACATCCAGTACCCCAGGGTTGGCAGCAGAAGACATGGGAGAAGAAAGGTCAGTTAGCAAAAGATTGGGAGGTATTTCTCAGAGACCCTGGATCTGTAAGGCAGGAACTTTCTGGAGATATATACATATTGTGGGGAACGGATGCTTCATCACATCTCACCCTGGCCTGGAATAGACGTTCCTAAAACCATTTGCCTCCTTATATTCTGATTCCATGCTCA